AGACCGTAACACAGACTTGCGTTGTCCCTCCTCGCTCGTGCCTGCGTGGTCCTCATTCTCCCCTCAAGGTGCCCCCCTCCCCCTCACCCCCCACCCCCATGGAGTCCACCACCACCATGGAGTCCACCACCGTACCCTCCCACCCGCGGGTGAACTGAGCCGCACTGCAGCTCGGTAAATGTCGTCTGATTGCGACGCGTCGCCACGGGGCAGCGGTCACACCCGAGCGCCTCCTCGGTACCCGAGTGACAGGACGCGTGTCACGGTCGTACGGGTGAAAGTAAAAGACACAAATGTGGCAACCATGTTTATAAATCCCTTTAAACAGACGGAGGAGGTGAAGCAGACCAAACCTCAGAGTTCTTCTTCTTCTTCAAACTTCCTGCCTCACATCTGGACGGGCCTCAGGTCCGGCCGGCCCGACGTGGGGGCATTAGAGGTGCCTCTCATGCTGACCAGTGCACTTGAGTCATGCCTCTCCCGTGTCCTCAGCTGCGTCTGGTTCTGTGTGTGTGTTGTGTGTGTGTGTGTGTGTGTGTGTGTGTTGTGTGAGCGTGAGTCCGTCTGAGCTCTAACCTCAGCAGCTGGGTGTGATTTTGTATTCATGTTGTCTGGGGGCTTCTTTCCTGTTGTATTTTTTCCTGTCTGTCCCGTCGCTTTGTTCCGCGCGCAGGAGTCTGGAGGTTGTGCTCAGATTACGGAGGGGAGCTGCTTTGTGTCAGCAGCTTCAATGACGGAGTTTGCATTCAGTCAACTGTGACCAGGCAAAGAAAAAACAATCAAATCCATTCTCTTCTACTCTTTCAATTCTGTTTGAAAGTTCGGCGGAAATATTGTACTAAATATTTCTCTTGCAATTTGATTTTTCTTCCTGTAAACCTCCCGTTCAGTGTAGGTAATTTAAACCGGGGTACTTGCAGGGTACGTGGAAAGATTAGCTCAACTGATTTGAAAAGAAATACAAGAAAGATACTACAGGCAGTGGATAAACAGTGGATATTGTGTAAGAGGAAGTGGATATTTGCTTCTGCCACTTATGATGCAAACTTCACTAAACCTTCCTCAACTGTGTTCAATTGTTTGACAATAGTGCTTAAATAAATCCTTTCAAATAGATAAATATCAACCAGTTGGAGTACTTGAGTTCATCCGACGGGGAGGGAGGTATGTGCAGAAAAAAGAAGTATGTGACTTCTTTTTTCTGCACATACCTGCTTCATACTTTGTATCTCACATTCTGCCTCTCCGAGCGTCTGCATTACATTTGGCCAAATTTGAAATGACATCTTGTACGCTGTAATGATTTATAAATATACATAACACAATTAAACACAATTCTATTATAAATTTTGGTTATAATCCAGGCAATTTGTTGCACACACACACACACACACACACACACACACGCGGTCGTACGCACACAAACACGCAGTTGGACGGGGAAAGTATTGCTTCACAAACAATTGCAGCCACACACGCTCGCTCAGGGAAGGAACATGAAAACGGCTCTAATGGGAAGAAGATGAGAGGGCCCACAGCGAGCCCACCAGAGGGAGGAGGAGAGGCCCGACACACCGCGTGGAGTCGGACGCAAAGATGGCTGCCTGAGGTCACGTCGTTAAGAGCGTCCTCTGGAACTGCTAGTTGAACATGGCACGACCGATCCGCGGCGCGTGAATCTCTCTCCCCGTGGGTCCTGCTTCCTTCTGCTCGTATCCACTCTCGCGCTCGCTGGGTTTCCACTTTACTTTCAACAGCATTTTTTTCACTGTGATTGTTGTAATTTCTTAAATTGACACGTTTCCTTTTTTAAATTAAAGGATTTTTAAATCTTGTTTTTTTTACTACAAAAACTATTATAAAAGCAAAAGAAAGATGTTTTTGTTCCTGGAGACTTTTATTTGGGGATTTTGTTTGTCAAAGCCGCTCTGCATTTGGAAATTCAAGTTATTCACAAGCGAATAATCAAGAATCAATTATTTTGTTTTAATTTAATTTGTTTGAATATTCAAAAGTCGTAAGTCAAATTCTAGTATGTTAAAAACGAATGCGGGCCCCGGATCATTTGAGGGTTCAGCGGTGACGCGGGACGCGTAACCCGGCGGCGAGGGGAAACGGCCCCGTGCTCGCGAGGAAAAAGTGTGTCAACTTGTTTGCTTCCCTTCGGTTTGTCTTTTCCAGCCCCCGGGCCGCGACGATAACACAAAAATACGGCGGCGTCCACGTCTCACAGCGAACTTGCCCCCTATAACCCGCGGAGGGGCCACGAGGCCCTTAGAACAACAGTTTGGCTCCGAGGAGCAGAAGTTACGGCCTGTGTGTCAACGACGGCTCACTGGTGATTCCCTCACATGTTTGTTCAGATTCTGGCTTCGCTTATGCACACAAGCACAAATCAAACTCTCCATCCCGTTGTGTCCCCTCCTTGTCCCTGTCCCCGGGAAGTCTCATCTCCGAGAAGCGAGGTTGGCCGACGCTCTGACGTTTTTAGACCTTTTGTGTCCCGTATCTTCCTGAAGAAACAATTTCCCCTCCAAAAAATTCTCATTATGTTTTCCCCTCTGTGCCAAGTCTATCATTGCTGCCTGTGCCTCGTCCGCGGTGCATATCCACTATGACGGGATAATATTTGGACAGGTGTTCTTAACCTCGAGGGTGCTAGTGTGCTGTTTCATTGCAGTTCCACGAAGAAGAAGAAGAAGAAGAAGAAGAAAGCGCCGCACATGGCTGCTGGTGGATTGTTAAGCTGGTAGTGTGTACTGTATGTGTGATCCCTGACAATAAAAAACTGTTTAGCACCAATTTTCCTTTACTTTTAGAACCCTCTTGCCCCCCCCCACCCACCAGCCCTCTGTTTCAGACAACTGTGGAGGCCACATCTGGAAGACAGATGTAGGCCTGGAAGCTTGTTCTCTGCCTTTGACTCTCGCTCTTTCTCTCTCCCTTCGCCTTCGCCGCTTCTCACTCACTCTCTCTTTCTCGCGTCTTACCCTCCCTCCCCTCTCCTTTGGGAAACATGAGAGCTGGGGGTAATTCTCCCTCTCTCTCCCTCTCTCTCTCTCTCTCGTTCTCTCTCCCTCCCACCCCGGCTGGACCACCCACATTCGGAAACGCCTAGCCGCTCCTCAGGCCGAGCCCACGGCAGTTTGGAGAGACACTGGGAGGGCAAACGAGAGGGAGGGAGAGAGATGTAAGGATGGGTTATGACTGACGGTTTTAGCAGAGTATCAATTACATCAACGTCGAAGCCGTAACCTGCCATCGTGTGAGGAGGAGGGAGTCTGGGAGGGACGGACGCTTTGGTGCTCATGAGTTCACGCAGCAGGAATTGTGGGCTCTTGTTAAACATGAACCTCTTACTCTAATCCAAAGTGTATTTCGTGGTGCTTATATAAAATGCATCTTAGGAAGTGAGTGGTTCAAAGCCCGTCTTTGGTAAATGCACATTAGAGAGAAATTGTAATCTTTTGATCAAAATTGGTGGAAAATGGACGACTTGAGGAAAACGTCTGGCGACATGACAGTGAGACGGATTCGAAACAGCAGCTTTTATTTGCGTGGGCAGTAAATAATTATCTATTAGTTCACCTCAAACTTGTCGGAACCGGTCCGACGTGAAAGTAAAGGCCTCCATCGTGTGGCTGTCTGCTAGTACTGCCTATTTACCTCCTGCACCTCCTGTGGTGCAACTCTCATTTGCATGTTTTTAAAGTGATAAAGTGATAATTTCCACATAGACAAGAAGTCCACTCAATGGAACATTTTTTGTTTGTGAATCTGTTCGGTTAGTGGATATATGACACCTGCTTGGGACTTTCATCAGCATTCAGGTACTGTTTGCATCACGAGGGAGCAACGATGTTGCATAAACCTTGAGTCATACCCACCTGGTGAGCTCACCAGCAGTACTTGAGAAGAGGGGGTCCATCGGCACTGGTCCCCCCCCCCCGACAGGTCACGTCCTCAAAGCGAAGCGGGGAAACGTTCTCCCTGTTCAGGCCAGAGGCGAGATCCTGGAGCTGCATTCCACCCGAGGATGGCGTGCGTCCGCAGGCGAGGAAGATGGACGTGGTTCCATGCGTGAGTTCATTCCTTCCTCGGATTTACCTGCTGCCGATGTCTCGCGGTGTTCAACTCTTTGGGGATTTTTTTACACACAGTACATTTAGCAACTACATGCTGTAATCTGACTTCTTTATATGTTATTTCCACACGTCATGCTGTGACTTTTTGTGATGTATTTCAACATGCTATGAACCTTTCGTGACTACGAATAAGACTCATACTGAATGATCCAATATTAATTGTATATAAAGTCTTGTAGGCCATAGAAATTTCATAAAACATTCATACTGTTATTCCATTAAACGTTTAGATTAAGTTTATAGCGAAAAGAAAAATAAACACCTTGTGTGCTTCAAAACGTATTAAGAAGTTATTAAAATATTCTAGAATGTCATAATATAGTTTCATAAACATATTGTAGTCGCAGGCCATAAAAATGGCAGCAGAAAGTCGTACTGTGGCGTTCCACAAAGAGAACTTCTGCTGTGACTCCAAACCACCGTTATCCTCGTCTCCAGAGGGTCTCGTAATCTTGGTCGTTAGTTATAAAAAAACGGCTGGCGAGGTCAAATATAAACTTTCTTGTTCTTCTGAGTTTGTATCCTTATGGTGGAAATGCACTTATTGTACGTCACTTTGGGCAAAAGCATCAGCTAAATGACATGTAATGTAATGAATGTTATATAATAAATAATAGCTTAAGAAATAGCAAAATAAATTCAGATTTTCCGCTGAAATAAAACAATTGCCTTCGTAATGATTATTTTTACTATTGGTACAATTGACACGTGCTAAAATGACTTTACTTTGACCTCAATCTTTTGAATGAAAAAGAATAATGTGTCTGTGTATAGCAGTGTTTTTAAAACAGCTTTACTTCTCCCACCAGACGTCACGTTCAGTGCACGACCAATAACATTTACAGCCAGAGACGATTTTGAGTACTTGAAAGAAAAAACTTTATTCATCATTCAAGACTTCAGTAGTGTGTAAGTCAACTAAGCATGACAAAGCAAGATGTGACTCCAGGAAGATGAACACTCGCGCATCGAACGTTTGTAACCCGGTAAAGCCATTAGAGAACACGGTACGCTTAAATAGACAATTGTAACAGTCGTAAAAATACAATTGTTGGTGCTCAGTGGTCAAGTATGAATATTATTTGACTGCATAAACCAAACAGCTGAGTGACACAACGTTGTGCGACACACAAGTGACTTTAATGTGCAACTCGATGCCCGAGCCCTTTGACCTGAGATCAACTCTCAGCTGGTTTTCTTTGTTCTTCTTCGCCCCACCTCAGTAGCCACGGACCCCACAGTGGCCCCCATGGCACCACCTAACGGCCCCCCCACAAACAGGCTGACCAGCGCTCCCAGCAGGGCCTCCACCCTCATCATTCTGGGCAGCCAGCTGATCCAGCCGCTCAGCTTCCCCCACAGGCCCCACAGGAAGGAGGGCGCGGCGGTGGCGGCGGAGGCTGACCTGGGGAAGAGACCGTCTACGTCCACGTTCAAGTCGCCCGCGCTCCTCTCCGCCTCTTCTCGGACCGCCTCCATCTCTTCTTCGGTGACATCGCCCTCCGGTTGTGGGTCGGCGGGGGAGACGGGGTCGCCGCCGCCTCCTCTCCTCTGTCGGACGAGCTGTACCTGCCTCTCCCTCACTCTCGCCTCGGCCTCCCGGCACAGAGCGCCGCTGCAGTGCTGCTCCCCGCTCGCTCTCACTGCCCGCTCCACCTTCTCCAGCAGCTCCTCCACGGCTTTCGCCTCCTCCGCCGCTCCGCCGCGGGGCTCCAAGGTGTGGTAGCGCCCACCGCACGCCTGCACCAGCTCCCGGAGGTCCTTGCGCCACGTGGAGAGGTAGTCCTCCATCTGCTCCTCCTCCTCCAGCTCCTCGGTGTGGGTGAAGAGCACGATGGTGTTCGCTTCGACCGCCGGGGGGCCGAACAGCTTCTTGAGGACGCTCAGCGCCTCGGCCTCGCCCTCGGCCGGCTGGTTCACGGGGACACACAGCAGGAAGACGTGTGGTCCGGGGCTGGACAAGGCGATAAAGGACGATATGTGTCTTCTCCGTTCCTCCGGGTCGCAGCCGGGACCGAACCAGGCTGGACTGGAGACGACCGCCACCTGCCGAGAGGAAGCAGAAGCAAAAAAATCAAGAGCATTAATGCAGCAAACACAAACTTTACTGTAAGAAGAACAAGTAGAGGTTTGTAAATTCTGGTGGAAGAGTTTATTGAGAGAAAACATACATTTCTATCATGTTTGTATACGGGTGTGTTTCTCTATATCTGCATATGTACAGGCCTACATGTGTGTATGGATTCTTATTCAGGATAAAGTGAGTGCTGCAGGGGTCATAGCTTAAAGCTAACGAGCCACTGACATGACAATAAGCCGTTGCTGTTACGCAACATTTCGCTCGTACCCGTCTACCGGCGGCCTCCCCCCGGTGTTTGATGCACTCCGGCCGGACGCCCTCCTCTGCGCCCCGCGGAGCTTCCTCCAGGCCCAGGATGGAGCTGACGGCCGACCTCTTCCCTGCTCCGGTCCGGCCCAGCACCACCAGCCTCAGCTCCGCTGCACCGCCAGAAAGGGCGGAGGCACCCAGCAGGGGGGGGAGAGAGAGAGAGAGACTACGTCATGGCAGCGCTGTTCATACGGACACGAAGTTACACAAGTTTTTAAGAAGTAGTATTTTATGACAGCGGTATTATTAAACTTCCTCCTCCTTCTCCGTCGTTTACAGTCTGTTAACAACTGTTAAAACGACGCGTCGCCCCCCGTCTCCCGGTACCGTGGACACCCGCCCGGGAGACGCCTCGCTGCCGCCGCGTCTCCCGAGAGGCACAAACGGCGTCTCGGCGTCTCGGATGCGGCGCTGCCTACCTGAGCGCGCGGCGGATGCGGACATGTCTGTCGTTGGGTCCCGGGCGGCTACACTTCCTCGTTGCTGCCGGTTTCTGGGAGTCAACTCGCAGGAGAACACAGCTCCTTCTGTCGTGGGGCCCCGGAGTAGCAGGGCGTCTCAAACCGGGGCTCGCGGACCAGCCGGGGTCCGTTAACACGTGACGCAGCGTTTCACAAACACAGACCCATAAATTGTATGAACCCCTTTGTGATTACTTTCATGGTTAACTACAAAACATGCAAGTGTGGATGATTGAGCTGTAACACCCAAACAATAATTATGTAATAAACCAATAAACAAAGTCTGCATGCTAGCAGTGGGTAGCTTTTACCAGCTAAATGCTAAGAGCAGCATGGCCCCCATTACAATGCTATCACTGCTTATGTTCTGAAATTAATGTTTACAATAGTTTAGCATGTTAATATTTCATAACTAGTGTTGAGCATTAAAATATAAACATGCACGCTTACGCTAGAATTAAATTACACTTGAACTATAAATGCATAGTAATAATGGGTGAAGGCCGCTTAAAGGCCGGATTTGCACGAACAGCATGTATCTGAAGTCACAACACCAGCACACGAACATGCAAAAAGATGCACGCACATCTGGGTCAAATGAAGTTCAACAGGAATCACCTGTTCCCCCTTTCTAAGAATAACATGTTCATACCTAGAACTACGCCTACCGCTCATATGCAAATCATCTTGCAAACATCCTGATGTGTAGAACTCATGAACAACGGGAGGCGTGTTGATCCGAGAGCCTAGAGGGACGGACATCCTTGTGCTCCAATGGGGCTCTCCGAGGGTTCTAAGCAGGAGCCGCCTCCATCCTAATAACCAATCAAAAATGCTCTTAAGAGACTATATCATTCGAGCGCATCTTGTATTAAGCGCCTATTTTCATGTTGTTGTTAAACTGCCTGAAATAGGTCCGTGCACGTACAACTGCCGGACAGAATACTCTTGTTGCAAATTGTCAAATGTCATATTGCTTTAAGTCTCCAGTCTAGTCCTTGTTTTGCTCGCACAACATTAGCCTCAGATAACTGCTGGTTGATGGGAATGTCATTAGAGATCATCCTGAAAGGGAACATTGACAGAATAATAATACAGGTTCACCTCGTCGCCACTAATCATTTTTGTACATTTTGTGCAAACCTGTGCAGCGGGTTAAAGGAAATGTTTCCACCTGTTAACCCTGCGCTCAGCTGCACTCATAAGAAAAGAAGAATCAAAAGCTGACTTTGGAAACTGCTTTAATGTTGCCATGTTGTTAAATGTGACAGTGACTTGATCAGCTTATGATTTAAAACAAAGTTGCACCAAGAGTTGTTTCCTTTTCTACGGAGCAGTCCAAATCTAAATGCAGGATGCACAGTAAAATATCTAATGTATAAAACACCAAGGCATGACAGCATTGTTTACACGGTAAAAGAAAAACAGAGCAGCTGTCAAATATATTATGTTGATCGTGACCAAATTACTTACATGTTCCTGTACTTTTCAGTAAAAAAACAAAATCAAATATCTAGACAGAAAAGTCAACAGTCAAACACACTAAATAAACAACTGCACGCATACACTCACTACATTCACACTACTCATTTTTACAACACACTGTACATGAACAATAAAACTAAGCTGGCATGCCAAGACAACGTGTTCAGTAAAATGTTTCATTTAAAAAATATAACAATTAGAAAAAATTAAGAGAGCAGGGTTTTTAAAAAAATACACTTTAAAAAACGTTGACGCTAGAAATATCCAAGATCCCAGTTGCCGAGGAAGTGGCTTAAATTACAGTCCCGCGGTCACTGCTGTCACGGACCGCTCTGGTCCAAACTGCCGACCTCTGACCCCATGTAGCTCAACTTTGATTATCACCCTCTCCTCACAGCCCGGGCATGATGTAGGCGATATTATCCAACGTATTCGACTGACAGAAAAAAAGAACTTTGTTAGGAAACTGACATAAAGACGCACACACGATTGCTGACAAGTGTACACTCGACTTAACGAGCGGCAAAACTTTACCAGGACGTTCCGAGGACATCCGTTGAGCTGTGGTATCTGCGCGGTGAGACAGGTCAGAGGTCCCAGCGCGCACAAGATGGAGTCCAGAAGAACGGACAGACTCCCGGACACTGCCACCATCCCCTGACACAAAGAGAACAGTCACATGACCCGCCCATTCTACTGCATACCACCCATGAACCCTCTCCAAAGGTAGTCTGCAGCCGTAACACCAAGACATGAATTGTTGGTATCAGGAAAAGTGAAAACTAGGAAGTCACTTCAGTCAGAGAGCTCATGTTTTCGGCTCAGTTTAGACTGTTCGTGTTTTTGTACAGGCATCCAGCTTCGTTTTCATTAACACTGCCAAGTAGACTGTGCTGAGTTCATGTGGTGTTGTAACAACGGTCGCATGAATGCCCCTTCAAGACAGCTTCGAAACAGCAAATGTGGGGTTTAAACAATAAACTACAACACCCCTCACATGTTTCCGTGTTACATCAACGAGACACATACTACGGTGAAAACACCCAAGTACGACTTTCTAACCATCCAAGGAACCTGAAGGCACCATTGTCTCAGAACGGTTACAGTTTGGGTGTGTTTGCAGGCTTAGAATCCGTGCTCCACGCCTTTCACAATAAGTGTTTAGTAAAGTCTTACAAAACCTCTCCAAAGTAAAAAGTCAAACACGGACAGCTGGTCAGACGAGATATGCGACTTCTGAAGCGCTGCTGCAACAACTGTGCACATGTGCATATTTTATTTCCCAACACACACACGGTGCTTTTAAACTCTGAATGTATTCTCGGCTCCATATTATCTTTTATTTCCAATATACAAAGTGTCAAATAAATAACGTTGGCGCCTGCGTGTAAAAAACGTACCTCCGTCTCCTGTAGCCGATGGCCAATCAGGGACAGGGACTCTCCCAGCAGCTGCAGGTGAGCCGCCCCATCGATGGGATCAACATCTGGGACTCGTGCCGGGGACAGCGACAACGCGCCGGCCGCTCGGTTTGGTGACACCATCCCTGTTGCCGCTCCCACAGCTTCCATGACCGAACGCAAACACAAGAGTTATGAGAGGACAAAAAGTAGAGGAGTCTTTAAACATCGTCAGTCAGCTGTAAATCGCTGGGCTGAAGTCGACGCTACCTTTGCTCTTGCCGTCGCTGGCACTCTTGTGTTTGACTGTGGTGGCCTCGGCTTTGTTCTGCTTATGCTGCAGATACTGAGCTTTCTGCCTCCAGACCTGCACAGGACAAACGTTCAGTGCACCGGCACGACTGCACGGGGAACAGCGATATTCAAAATGATCTTTGACCGATAAACAGTTAGGAATGCAGACAGAAACGTACCAGTTTGTCTTTCTCTGGCATCGCCTTCCACACCTCTGCCAGCCTTTTGCTGAGCTCCCCAAAGACTGCAGACAGACAGACATACGGTTTCAAATGTTTCCTTCAGTGACCAGTGTCATTGCGCATGCTGTGAGTCACGACGTCACCCACCCAGCCCTGGCTGTTCGGCATTGATGTTGACCCTGTACTCCTTACAGAACACCTGATACGCTGTTGTGTTCTTCTTCTTGGGCTAAAAGAGGACAAAGGAATGGAACAGACACTTAACAAAACAAAAATGAATTTTCAAATCGCACAATTTTCAACTTGAAACTACGAATGCAACAACAAATATCCCCAAACCGTTTCTTACCTTATCTTTTTCCTTCTCGTGCTTTTCCCGATCTTTCTCCTCTTTCTTCTTCTTCTTCTCTGTCACTCCATCGTTGCCCGGGTGGTGGTGCGGGGGGACGGGCGTGCCCATGGCGTACATCGGGCCGACGGCGCTGTGTGTGACGGTGGGGTGGGAGTGGCTGTGGCCCCTGGATGAGTCTGGAGATAAAGGGATTACACCGCGGTTGTGGTGGAAGCACAAAACAGACTCTTTGCTGTACAATCAACGAATGGAAAAACCCACCTCCAAATCCTTTGCTGTGCTTTTTGTCCTTCCCACTTTTTTCCTTGTCTCTGTCCTTTTCTTTGTCCTTCTTCTTCTTGCTTTTTTTGCTCTTCTTCTTCTTTTTTGACATGTGTGTGTAGGAATCATCTATAACCAGTTCACCTGCCTCCAGCTCCCCCCCTGATGACGAGCTGTCGTCTCCCATGCCCCCTCCATAATGACCTGAGTAACAGGGAACGCATCCATGGATATTAATCAACAACACAAATATTTTATAGTGTTTAATAATATCTTCAGCCGCAATAACTGCAAATACAGTTCATCAGCAATTGGCTAGCAAACCAACATGATGCAACGAATAATAACGAAATGATAAAAAGGAAAAGGTACATGTACTAAACCTACTGACGCGGCATGTATTACTTGCGGTTCTTCCGACCGTAACTTATGTACCAGGGACGTCAAACTAATTTGAGGTAACACTTTTTCGGCTTGCAAGGTAGTTTTCAATAAAGAAGAACATGGCGATCTACTCCCCTGTTTCCGTCCGCTCAGCCTGAATAATAATGATAATAATAATAATAATAATAATAACAACTAGTATTAGCGGTAATCAAATGGAACACTGCATACTGTGAGCGCAAAACGAATCAATATGAAATTAAACAACGAGCATCTGATCGGTCAGAAGCGAGGGAACAGTGACAACTAAGTTACTCCACACATTCATGGCCATTACTGTACTCCGATCACTTGCACTAATTGGAGTCAGCCAGGGTTGCTTTTGAATTAAGTTAAACCGGTCCTTTAGTAAGCAAGGTGTTTTTTTCTGTCCAGCGCATGGCTCACTCGCAGAGGGCGACCCCCAGTGGACTGATTCGGAATAGCAGCTACTTTTACAGAAAAGCAATCTGTCTTTCTGTAATTCAAACAATCGAAGAGTCATCCGACGGGCCTCACTGGACCCCCGGGGGTCCGGGTATAAAGAGTCAACAAGCACACCTCCAAACTCATCAGGTTTTCTCTTGCTTCCGCTATGTTTTCTTTACATTTTGCTTTGCTAAGCTTGGCTCTGCAGCCTATGAACACGGCCGCCACGCTCACTATCAAGTCTGAAACCCCCCCATGTGAACGTGTCAATACCACACCTGTGCATGTTTGCTTACGTGCAGACAGAAGTACAACTCCAACTTTAGTTGGTAACGGTTATATCTCACCTTCCACCTCCACCTCTTTCCCGACGACAGGCAGCGGATCTCGACTCTGCTGCACTTTCTTCTTGGGCGCCTTTGAGTGCTGCATCCTGTCTCTATCCTTCTCCTTCTTTCCGCCTCCTTTGGACGGGTGGGACGTGAACGGGGAGCTCTCCCCTTCCTCTTTCTCTGGCGACATGATGAGCTTCATCTTCAGACCGTCGGCCTCGCGTAACGTCAACGGCTCCTCTTTGGGCGCTCCGCCGTGGAATAGTGACGACTTTGAGGAAGACGACGAGTGCTTCTTGGAGGACGATGATGACGAGGCAGCGGGGCGGGAGTGGGAGAAGGAGTGGCTCCCTTTGCTTCCGCCACCGCCCTCACGTTTGCGGTCCTTGGAAGAGTGCGAGGAGAAGGGCGGGTAGGAGGGTTTCTTGTGTAAGTGGGGGCTGGGTTCTGAACCCGTTGCCAGCGGAGAGGTGATGGCCTGCAGGAGGCCCATGGCTGTGTCTGTAGGGAGGGAGGATGAGGGGGACGAGATGGTAGGGGAGCGGTCTACAGACTTGTGCTTTTTCTTGTGGGAAGGTGGACCTAAACCATCGTGGTCTGTTACAGGGACAACACGGGAAAAGAAAAAAGTAAACACGGTTGAGTGTTTTTTTGTTGTGTGAAATTAAAATATTATTACAGCATATCAACATCTCACCTCTGTAATAGTAATCATCACTATGTTTCTTCTTCTTTTTGTGCGAGTCCCCTCCAAGCGCAAACAACTCCGAATCCTGATTTTGAATGACATAATTGCTTTTCGTTCACCAATTCGGGGATAAATTGGTTGGAAATACTATGTTTTAATAAAAAGCTTCCTGTGATATTAAATTATAGAAACGTTAACGTTGACAGATAACCTACCTTGGGTCGTTTTTTGGAAGACTTTCGGACCTGAGCAGCGATCTCCTCTTCCTCCCTTAACAGGTCCTTGTACGACCTCCTCTTCTCTCTCTGGCTACGCCCAGCTACAAGGCCTCTGTCTCCTTCCATCCCCACATCTAGAATAAATGGTAAAAATAGTCAAATAGTTCATTGAAAAGAATTCTTTGGATCTTGTTTCATCCATGTCTCTTGATATGTTCTCCGTTCCTTGTGCAAACCAACACTCAAATCGGTGAAACGGTAACATTTTATTTATTGTGCCTCTGACATTTGCAAATCTGTGATAAGTGGAATGAATGTAGAACTACTTTCAGTTTAAAGCAGACATTACCAATTCCTCCTTTATTCTTGATCTCCTCAAAAGCCATGGCTCCTGCTTTGTCAACACGTGTGGTTGTCACAGTACGTCACTGACAACGTAAGGCAGGATTCTGAGCTGCAAAGTGAACACCAAGAGACACCAATCAAATGCAAGTTAAGGTTATCTATCCTGGACAAAAAACAAGCAGAGCAGTTTAACGACGGAGAACTTGGCCATTATTGGCTACATATTTCACAGGTACAATGGTAATCACGGTGTAATAGGTACCGAATGGCTAAAAGTGACGTTGTACCGGTTTAGTCCCGCGCTGAGCTGTAGGTAAGCCGAACACAACGCTACCCAAAAGTATGCAAGTTCCGTAATGAATGGCTGCTAATTGAAGGAAAATACAGGATGCCCTATGTTAGAATAATGCTGTGGTCGGTCACCGGCAAAACAGTAAAACAAACCATAGCTAGACAAACTCCCGCCTACTTTCATCAAGACACACAAACACACCCCCTCTCCGTTCACTTTGAGTCGTTAGCTTCGCAACATTTCCAGCACTGGAGCGGGTCTCGCTGAGCGCGGCCTCAGCCCGCCGGTGACAGCGAGTGAGGAAAGCCCGAGGCTTTCACTCAGAGCTAGGCCGCGCTCCTCTCAAGTGCACAAAATAAAGTGCAAAACATGCATTCAACTCTGCTCGTGTCTTAGTCTCCACTGGGGCGATAAGCGTTTGCTTTTCATACACACCGGGGAGAAAGGAAATACTGTGTTCAGTAAATTGTACTACCTTTATGGATATCCAATTTACGCGGGTCCGGTCGCCATTTTTATTATTTTCGGCGAAGCAACAATACGTGTCGCCGTAGGGGAGGGGCTTTGGAAACGTAGCCAATCAGCGTGCTGCTCTCTGCTCTTTTTACACACACGATCCTACTAGTGAAAACTAAATTCTGGAATATTGGATGCGTTGGTATTGAATCAAGAATTAAATTACACAAAATTAACCGAAATGTATTCAACATTTATCATGTATGAAATGCAATATCCTACAATCATAGCCAAACATTGATTTATTGAATCACATATCCATTGCCAACGATAGTCAAATATCTAAAAATGTTCTTTTACAGTACAGTTCACATACAAACATTACATGCAACACAGGAGAAAAGGCAACGGCATAGAAAGATGCCGTCAATAAGAAAACAAAATACAACAGTGAAAACTGTTTAATCATTTCATGAAAAATGTCTCATAATTATCAGCAAACTTAGCTAGAAATGGCAGGCAAAAAGAGATTGCGTCAGCACATAGACACAGCTGTGAGACACACACACACACACACACACACACACACACACACACACACACACACACACACACACACACACACACACACACTAGAGTGAAGATCCCACTGCGCCTGAGGGTTGGTTTCTGTTCCAGCAGTTTCCTGTTCTTAATGTATATTTCCCTAAAGGGTTTCTTTTATTCCGTTTTATGAAAACCTAACATGTGACACTCCTTTCCCTCTATAAATAGATACCCACTTCATTGCGGTACTGGGAATTCCATTTTGAGCATCTTGTCGCTTTAACCAGATGATGATTTTTCTGTTACAGTCTTACTCACAGGAACGCTATGAAAACCTCACTAAAGCTGCAAATGCTTTCAAAATAATCACGGTTTTATCTTATAAAATAACAAGGTGTCCACATTTCACGGCCCTGAAGAAACAATGCTGTAGATGAATCTGTACTTTGGAATACGGACAGAAACCCCCAGAATTTTGGTTCAGTACGGTTTAGAATTAGCTTGTCTGCTCATGGCTAATGCTGCAGAGGCATTCTCCTGAAAAGTAGCAGGACTTCAGCTCCATGTACAACTTTTCTTCTACCTATCCCCTAGATTCTGTTTCTGTAGACTGAGTGACGTAAAACTGGCCAACAAATCGGTCACCTCATCCACCTAAAAAAAAAAAAGAAAGAAAAAAAAGAAACAACTACGTGTGAGTTTTGGGGAAATTGAAGTAAATTCACAAGAATAATCAATACATACGAAAAAGCAAACATTTAGCGAGTTACACCATGACTGATATTTATTCACAGAGTCTATAGGTCTCACCTGCTCTTTGGTGCGTGTGTGCCGCAGCTGTGTGGAAATGTGCTCGAGTCGCTCTTTAGCTTCACTCTGGCCCATTAAGTTCAGGTATTCCCTCAGCATTTGAATAATCTACAAGGGAAAGTCAAACGAAAAATGATTCAGCATTCATTCCATCTAAACGAATTAAGCATGATTTTTGCCGAAGATGAATCCAAAGCAGAAGCCGGGAAAATGAGGGCGTTCGATACCTGCGTGACTTCTCCTCTCAGCGTTTCTAAACTGCGTGAATCTCCCTCCTGCAGAATATTGAGTTTGGAGCGCGCTAGATGCAGGGGGGTCCTGCCTGCTCGGTCCAGGGCGTCCACACGGGCTCCTTGCCCGAGAGAATAAGAGAACAAATTTCTCAGCTAAGTGTGTTGAACAGTTAATGGTCCATTTTGTTATATATCTGGCAACATTTAAAGGGGTTGGGACGCCAACCACCAAGGATGGGAAGCATTTGACGAGGCAGTTTCTGAGGAGACGTGCCGCCATGGTGAGTGGTTACAATCCTACACCTGAACTAGATTAAGTTAAATGCTATAGATTACTTTAAATTGGCCTATTTTGTTTGAAGCAGCCATTTTTAGGTGGGAAAATATGGCCAACAGATGTACAATTCAATTACACAACAGAACACCAAAATGAATGGCACTGGGGATCAGTTGAAACACTATTCTCAACCAGCAAACATATCAGACTGCCTTCTTCTACATGGAACCAGGGCAGCAGTACTGCTTTATATCATGTTTATCATCGACTCAGTCAGAGTTTTTGATTGATATATATAATATATATATTATATATATACACTGTACCCATATAAATATGCTCCTTCAGGGCAACAAACACCTTTAAAAGTCTATCCCGTGACCCTTTATCTTCAGCTAACTTACAACAACGAGATCTCATACAAAGGCGAGCGACATGTAAACAAAAAGGTCTCACCTCCTCTCAGCAGCGAGGTGATCACAGGCACATGGTTGGTACAGGCCGCTGCGGACACAGTTAAAAAGCAGCAAGTTGAGACACAAATAAAAGAACAAGCGGTCATGTCGTTCTGCATCTCTGCGTTAGCAGGTGCGGCGCGAAGCCGCTGCACTGCAGTGAGTCAGAGGGAAACCACAGTCATGTGCTTTTCAGACCACACTGCTGCAGGCTTTACAGGGAGAGTGTGATCGTTTTCTCTTACCCAGATGGAGGGGGGTATTTCCCAAACTGTCTCGCTGGTTTGGGTCAGCGCCGTTGCTCAGCAGCAATTGCACTACAGAGAGAGAGAGAACGACATTGGGAAATAATTAACTGTGACCGATAATAAAATACAGTGTAAAAGGAAGAAAATCATAAGAAGTTGCGTTGTACACAATTTTCCTATTAGAGAGTCGGGACGAGTTAATCACCAACCTACCGATGCTCTCGTTGCCATTGCAGGAAGAGAAGTGGAGGGCCGTCCTCCCCTTGTCGTCTGCCGCACACGGGTCGGTGTCATCTTGCAGGAGCTTTCGAACTGAAAAAAAACAAAAACACACAAAACTGATCACCTTTCACTCCACCTGCGAGGCATTTTACTGCACCCACCTCGCTGTTCATACCTGTGTCAATGTCGTTGCTGTTCGCTGCCTCCCTCAGTCTTTTCGCAGCTGTGGAGACACACATTGAAAATGACCGGTATGTAAATGTTGCTTTGGGTGGATGAATGGAATCTGATTGCATTTACATCAACAAACAAAGGCTCCTTTCACTGGGTTCACACTGTCAAGAGGGGGGGGGGGGGGTGCAACTGTATACCTGGAGTGTACTGTTTACCAGGGCATGGTAGCAGGTTGTTACAAGACAGAACAGCTACTGGGATTTTGGTAATCATATTATGACACATCTTAATACTTTCTTCTGGTATTCTCTGCATTACACTGTGATAACTTCAGCCTGCCTGTGCAGGTATATCTAACTTACTCTGTATGTATTAAATCTACGTGCTCAGAGACCTAAATATGACACACACACACACACACACACACACACACACACAGTTGTAATGTATAGGTAAAGCTGTCACTCACCGTAGATATCTTTCCCCATGGGCCCGAGGCTGCGGGCCACCTTGTGCTGCCGCCGGGCCCTCCTCCCCGTCATTTTCCCCATCTTGCTCGTCACCCCCCCGGCGCCCGCCTCCGCGCAGCCGGGCTCCCACAACAAGTGCAGGTACCGCAGTTCCTTCTCGTCTCTCTGTCCGACCTTACCCAACACCACTTTGCCCTCCCCGGTCCCGGTCATCCCGAAGCCGAGAGCAGCGGGACCCTCGGGGTCCATCCTCTCCGGGCTGACGATGCCCCGCGGCTCCCTGCCCTCCGGCCCCTGCGCGTCGGCTTCGGGTCCGGGCTCCACCATGTACTCCCCCTCGGAGCTGGAGCGGTCGTTATCCGAGGCCGTCGCAACAATTGGGCTCCACCCGTCCATACTCTACGGTGACATGTGGATGCCGTGTTGGTGCTGCCTGCGTTCCTCACTGCGGCTGCCGAAGCAAACGGGAACCAACGCGGTCGTGTCGCGTAGGAACAACTCCGAATATCGCAGCCGCTCCGTCACGTCTCCTCAGAAACTGCCTCGTCAAAGGCTTCCCATCCTCGGTGGTTGGCAGTATATTGAAGCGCAGGGCACACTTCCTAAACAGCAGCAAAATGTCTCCTATTTCACAATGTTTCATTATCGCGGAGGTAAACTAGTAAAAGGCAAAGCCATTGTGCGGTTGACGGAGAGCTGGCCAATCAGGTTGCGTGTTGTTCGTTAAGCGCCTGTCCAATAGAATCTACGCAAACCAGGGAGCCAATCAAAGAGTCGTGTGCCTGGACCAATAACCGCGCATGCGCAGGTGTACAAAGAAAAGCTAGTCCATAAAACATATTTGGAATCCTTCTTTAATATACGTTTCATCGGGTAATACCATGTAAAATCAATAATACACACAAACTCACCCTTCCCCTATATGGCTTAAATAACATGTACATGATATGAAAATGTCATAATATTATATACAGTAGAGTCCGGTTAGAAATAAAAAATAAGGGAACATTCAAGGGAAAAGGTCCCTTTCCAGTGATGCGCAGTTCCCAACCTGAGGGTTGGGTCCCCAATAGGTCCCGTGACGATGTGGGAGGAACTGTGAGATTATTACAAAATAAGGAAATATTCAGTTACACTTTACTGTAACAGTGAATTTCTTAATGGCACTTCTTCAGACACTTAAACATCAAAATAAAACAAAAAAACATTGACTCTTTGGTTGAATTTGTCAATCCAGATTTACAAATGACAAGGGTTTATAGATTGCCTCATTTTAAGGGGTCACAGGCCCAACACCTTTGGGAACCACTGATCATGGTATCAAGATATTTGTTCTCGTGGGGGGAAACATTCCAGGTGCTAGAGAAATGTAACACACACTCATTGCTCATCACAACAACTTGCAGTAGCAACATTTTTGGTTCCATTGCTTAAGATCTAGAACACTTATTTTTCTCATGTAACCACTGCCTTCAACACAATCAGAAGTCAAGTTTCAGTCCTGCAGAAATGGAGGCTCCAGCCTGTGCCAGGTGGGCAGGGAACGCGGGATCCGCCCCCGATGTGCCTTCATCCCGCACAGTGGGCATCGGGCCCCCGTCCTGATCACGCTGCCACAGCCGACTGTCGCGAGCGACACCCTGCCGCTTTAAGTAGCCCTGCTGACAAAACAGCGGCGGCTTGCGGTGGGCGAGGGACAAGCGGAAGCATGATTCTGAAAGACATGATAATAACGCGGGAATGAGTCAAACTACCACCTGTAATGATAGAGTAAATATATTCAGAAATTTGTGTGTAACTGGTATACAAAAATAGGATTTGCAGCAAAAAACTGGGCAGGTTTACCTGCATAGAAGGCCCTGAGGTCAGTCTGGACACAGTGCTCGAGGAAGCGCCGCAGCGGCTGAATATGCGATATGGGCGTCCCCCATTCTGTGAGGAAGTCCTCGACCATGTGGTGGATTGCCTTGGGCCTCGGTAAAGGCCAGCCGGGGGGACGGAGCTTCATTTCCTCATCTGGGAAAAAAGGAAACAGAACTCATATTAACTTTCAACCGGAGCTCCTTGCCTTTCATTAACTGCAGTAACTCGACCCTTTAGCGGCACAGTACTTCTACTCACCAGTGGGAAGCTTGTCATAGTAGTATAAAACCGGATGCAGAAAGTTTGATTTCCAAGCTGTGGTCCATTCGGTGTCAGCTCTGCCCCGCCCCAAGTAGTCAACTTTATTCTTCCCGTACTGCATGACCAGAACTATCAGTCCGTGCTTGGAGACCTCGTGGCCCGAGAGAGAGGAGAACCGAGGCAAGGCCTGAAGTGTGAACTCTTCCACGTATTCACAGCGAGAGCTTAGAGCCGGGCAGAGAAGAAAGCACCATGAAGAACACGGAAAGGTAACAACTGTATTTATACTTAATGAGCAAAGGTCAGGCAATATCATTTGAAATGAGAGTAAACAGGGAGTGACTTATACAGTGACTTTGATATTTCTTTATCTGTATGAGCTGTAGTTGCAATCAAACTGGCATTGCCTTCATTAGCTATCACTGCGTGTTAGAATATGTTATCTTAACAAGCAGTGACGCCGCTGGTGACATCAAGACAACACATTTACCCGCGTAGAAGGATAACATCTCCGAGAACCTCAAACATTTGGTACGGCCCAGAGGCCTCGTTGATCCGCTTCAGAATCCACGACTGCAGCTGCGTTGTCGATAGTTCTGTTGATTGCCACGGGTTACCGTGGTAACGCTGTTCAAGCACGCGATGTACAGACCGCACTGCGGTAAAAAAATAAAAACACCAACAAAATTCCATTTAAAATATATTTTTTGTACTTTAAATGCATATCCAATAGTCACAACACATGAGCGCTATTGACTACTTGTCGCTGCCGTTGGAACCGGACCACGTCTGTGAAGATGCGCAGGCTCTGGCAGAAAGGACACCTGGCGAGGCAGAAAACATCGTTCGGGCTTTCACCTGTGTAACGGAACCCGTGGACGAAGCCGCCGGCGGATGAGCGGTAGTCTCTGGAGTGAGCGGCGGTTCCCAGCACAAACAGACCGGGGGTGTTGTCCCCTTCATACCAGGCCGTCAGCCTCGGCAAGCGGCCTTTGGCGTTGTCGCTGTTCAGCGGGCGGGCCGAGCTGGGGAGACGGGAGGTCACAGAAGTTGAACCGACTGGGCTTTGACACACGTCCACTAGCACTCGAGGTTAACAGTAGTTCTCCACCTTTGGAATATACTGAAGTTGAATCGGAATCCGAGGCACGATATCACCCGGTCGTACGGCTTGCGCATAGAGAAGTTGTCCAGTTGATACTCGAGGGTTTCCGCTCTTCTCGCATCGGAGCCGTTCTTCTCCTCCTGGTGTTGCAGGTACTTTTTTAAAGTCACACAGAACTTTGGCTTGTTCACTTTCTTCTTTGCGCCCGATCTGCTCCAGCCTTGCTCCTTCAGTTGAGTGATGGCTATTTTATCCAGAGGGATCTCCGCCAACCCATCCAAGGACTTCAGCTGATATGTGTCGAGAAGATCATTGTTCACAGCTCTGAAAAGACAAAAACACAAGAGTTCACTTTACATTAAACAGTGTTGACATGCAAAACATTGAGGAAGAACCCCACCTGGGGCACACGTACCCGCTGGGTGACAAATATGCTGTAATAATACGAGATGTGTAAAGAAACAATAAACAAATGTATGTAGTGTGAAATCTGATGTTTGTCAATTCTTTCACTGTTGCCTTGAACATTTTACTGGTTTGCCCTGTCAACATGTCCATTGAAAGACTCTTAATTCTTCCAGAGCATCTTCTTAAATAGAAAAAAAAGTTTAATATCTTTGATGTTTAGAGATAAACAAACTGTTATGATAACCCATCAGTTACAAGCCTTCCATTATTTATATATTATAGCTCACTATAAATTGATAAGCAAGTTATAACAACTTGATACGAACCGAGAGCTTAAGCCTAGAATAATTCATCACTGAGTATGTTACTGAAACTCTCCATCCATCCATCTTCACACCGCTTATCCTGCACACAGGGCCGCTGGAGTCAATCCCAACCAACTTCTGGCGATAGGCCAGAATCAGTACGACCTGGTCCTATAATTTTTCTTTTTTTAAACGGCTGCCTTTTTCCAAGAAACACGTTCTAATTACTTCATGCTTCGATATCTTAGGATCCTCTACTTTCTGCATTGACCCCTATTCTTTAAAAATAATAATGAACATAATTTGGGGGTGTGACCAACAGGACAACAGAAAGGACCCAATCTTTAGCTGTACCTGAGATCTCCAACGTAATGTGTCTGCCAGGCCAGTCGAACGGGGTTGGAACTGAGCATGTGCACCAACTTGGCTCTTCCCGAGATGCTCTGGGCCGTTTCGAAAGCCGAGTTCCCCTTGCCCAGAATCAGTACGGCCTGGTCCTTGTAGTCCTCGGGATCGGTGGAGATGGACTCGTAGCCCTCGACCAGGTCGGAGCCGACAAACTCAACCCTCTGAGGAACCCACAGACCTGAGGCCACCAGGAGGACGCTGGGAGGGGGAGTGGGAAGGGGATGGATAAACAACGTGCTTCACAATCAGAAAACAGAGACTTTAACCGTTGTCTTGGGTTCCAGTGTGGCGCAAATTACCTGCATGTGTAGTCCAACTCATGTTGATCGGTCAGGATGTATCTTCTGCCCTCGGGGGACCGCACTGCCCCGATTCTTCCGATGTCCACGCCGTACCGGACCCTCAGCCCCAGCTCCTTCTCGAACATGGACAGATAGACCGGGAAGGCGTCCGCCGGCGGGAAGAAATCTCTGCTCACCCTCTTCAACAGGAGGTTGGGTCTGTCGCTCAGCAGCGAGTTCCAGTCGTGGCGCATGTTGAACTCTCGGTTCTGGCTCCCTGTGTAGATCTTGTTGATACTGATGAGCTTCCTGTGCCTGGGGTACCTGGAGAAACAGAGCAGAGAACGGCCCCGTGTCAAAGGTGGATCAGCGGGGCAGGCGGGCGCCATTGGACAGGCCTTTCGTGAAGCGCCCTACTTGTTGAAGAAGCTGCCCGGCCCAGAGTTTCTCTCTAAGATGACGTAGTCCCTTTTTGCCCGGGAGAGGAAATATCCCATCTGCAGTCCCGAGGGCCCGGCACCGAGCACGCAGTAGTCATAGCGGCCGGTGCCGTTCTGCTGGCGGTCATCAGGAAAGCACTCGGTGCAGCCAATGAGGATGAGGAGGGTCAAATAAGGAAGGCTCGGATCCATGACCTGCTGGACGTGAAGCAATGTGGTAAACGTGTGGGGACAACTCAAATAAATGACTCAGAAAAAAATCCGTAGAGTATTGTTGTAGCATAAAGGATATTAACGCCTTATTACTCATATTATTTCACAAACCTTAACTGTAAATTGTGAAATATATGTTTCAAATGGAAGGCTTATGTTAGGAAAATTTCAGGCTCATTCAATTGGGGTTTTTTCCGCACAGAGAAAAGTGTCTTAAACATAATCTCACTACTTCTCTTTCGCTCCTAACCCGGGCACGCGCTTGTGTGTAGCGGATTGGAACATCTGTAAGAAGTACAAGTAACGTTAGCAAACCTCCACCGCGGGTCCCTGTTCCGGAGCACAGCGGCTACATCTCAGCTCCGCGTGCCTGCGACGTGGAACCAGAAGGGCGGCTCAACGACGTTATCCCTCTGCAGAGGATGCGGCGTCCCGATTCCGGTTCGGGTCCTGGTCCCGGTCCTCTGGAGCCAGATGTGAGCTCGCCTGAGGTTCTCCTACAAAAGCACGTAAGGTTCCCTTTTTATTTCAGTCGCTCCCTGCCACGCAGCGTCTGCGGTTAACCATCGATCGTACCTGTCGAGACGACTACATGTTTACTGTTTTGCGTTGTGCAGCGCGGTATGTGTGTGTGTGTGTGTGTGTGTGTGTGTGTGTGTGTGTGTGTGTGTGCACTCGTCTGAAATTCCACCGCCCCTCGTCAGACATCCGGAGCCAGTGGAGGGCTGCTTGCATAAGGGGCGTGGTTAGAGAATGCCATAGAACACTGCGGTCAACTCAGCAGACGCTTGAATTTTAGTGCCCGTATATGCGGAGTTTTACGGTATCAAACTTGGAATAAAGGCTATTTAAATAGCAAATTCCGGACAATGATAGAAGTACATGGTAAAAAATACATACAAGAGTAGTCAGAGAGAACTGTACAGATTTAGAGATTCCTTCAAAAAAAGCTCTGTATTTGCAAGTTCAAAACAACATTTCTCTACATTTAAACTGTCGGACCTCTCTGACTACTAGGATGATCAATATAAGTCTTTTCACTGTACAGATTGAGATTTCTCCAAAGTAAAAGTCCTATTTTTGCAGGTTCAAACCACTATTTCTCCACATTTAAACTGCAATAAAAAACTCATTTCTCAATAATTCCAGACAAAGACCATTGTACTGGTGTTAAGGACCTCTCTGACTACTAGGATGCTGATGACAAATGCTGCTTCAGCATTCCAAGTGTTGTTCTTCGAGTCATTAATCAACTTCTTATGTAAACTCAACCAAGCGTGCGCGTCGTGTTGCTGCGTTGCAGAGTCCTGTCTTGAAGATCTGGATGAGACTCGCAGTCTCCACCTGAAGGGCCTTCTCTCCGAGTACTTCGCCAAGTTGACGGACTGGGAGAACCAGATCAGAGCGGACATCAGGAGCTGTCTCGGCTACCGAAGTGACGAGAAGTTTTCTGGGAGAGCTCGCAGGGCATCGGTGAGGGCACACGGCGCTCACGGTACGTATGCATGAGGGCGATCAGCATCATTTTGATGAGCTCATAGAGCGTCTGAACCATGAAGCTTCGTTCTATAACAGCTCTGCACCTCAAGCCCTCTAGAGGGAGGCAGAGGATCAATGAATAAATTGTGAGCGTGGCAATGCGATCGACGGAGCAGAATAGCTGATAAATTGTACTAGTAAGATGTTTTCTGTTGTTTAACCAGCAGCAGGTTGTCCCGTGCGGATCCACGCGTGTGTTTCAAGTAGGTCGATGCACCGTCTGTGGTTCAGCCAGTCCTTGTTACCCAGCTCAAACCTACGGCATGGGCCGACGCTACTGGAGGAAGTGCATCCACTTCGACTTCAACCAGCTCATCCGACTGTCCACTGAGGAGATCATTCGCTTCAAGTGAGCGACGGGATGCAGATCCACATGTGTGCACACCTGCCTCATTCGCTCACTCCCTCACTTGTACTCTTCAGTCTGGTCTTGATGGATTTGATGGGTTAAAAACTTTCTGGGTGGCACATATTTGTATTTAATTTATCAGAGTAAATAAGTTATGTGACAACCGGGCTTTCCCCATGGTCATTCATAACGAATGCCCATAAACGCTCGGTAATGTCACTGTGAGTGTTTGATGATTCCACAATCTTCATAGACAATATCACAAGTCAGATTAACCAATTTAGACCAACACCTCTGTTTTGAAAAGCTGATTCTCTCTTCATAAAGTGACAGGAGCAACAAAACGCCGCAACCGGTCAGAAGGCTTGTGAGCTCTTTTGGCTCTGAAAGAGATTTCTCATTGTCGTGATCACTAACCGAAAATGTACATGAAGCATTCAGTAACGAACAATGGTAATTGGTTTAAAATCGTTGCATTATTTGTACTTTACTGAGAGGTGCAGATGAATCAGAGCCTCTTTGAACCAATCAGCAGCATTTTCTCTCATTTTGATAAACACCAGGTCTGCTTTTGAAGCTGAATGTGACTTGTCTTTTTGTTTCCTCTCCTGTTCATACATCTCTAAAACCCTCCCATGGTCACAGTGGTGAGGCTCGATTCTTCCTTAAGAGAGAGAAGCCAAAATACAGAACGTTTGGACTTTTCCTCATAAGATTTGGCTTCACAAATGAATGACAAGGTCCCAGCAGGTTCCCGTCATTTCCAGATTCATGTTTTAATAGTGCTAACTTCTTTAATTTAAGGGAAAAATGAAGAATGGCATGTCTATATTCAATTCTTATTGGCCTAATTCTGTGGTGTGTTATTGTATTAATATTCTCTTACCCCATGATGACGCTGATAATTGTCTTTGTATGCAACCAGAGAGAAGATTGTTTCCATCAGATAAAATAAGTAGATACCGCCAATCAGTACCAACGTCTTGTAAATGTAGTCTGGAGTTTGTGTAAATGCGTCAGGCGAGTGATTGTGGCTGTCCGTTTTGTCTGAGTGCAACATGCAAATCTAAAAACTGAACACACAGACCGGAGGAAAATTAGTATTTCTTGTTTAAAAATCACGCCACTTTTACAGCTGCTATGAATTTCAGCTCCCCCCCCCAAAAAAAGCTTTTCACTCACTTCAGACAGCTAAATTATAGAAGTCAGTTGATCTAGGTTGATGGAAGAGAAGGCATCCAAGCAGGCATCAGCCCTCTGCTGCATCCAACAGAATCTTATCATTGAAGAAATTCGTGAACTCGTTACTAGTGAGGTGCAAAGGAATACACGGCTCGACAGAGCTGTGACTCTGTCAGTCGGGCTACAGTGCTGAAGAGAAACCTGGAATTGTTTTTATTTTCTCTGTTAATGATGAGTAATAAGATGCTCCTGCGTTACAGAGAGCCTTCTTATATGTTTTAAGGCTGTCTTGCCAAACTAGATCCTTCTGATTTGGTGGAACGCCATAATCGTTCAAGTTTCCGCACAGTTTGCTTTAGGTTCCGTGTTTGAGGGTTATACCAAGTGTGGGCGCCCGACCTCGCGGGGTAGGCCAAAGGGTCCCAGGGGAGAAGAGAGCGACAAGTGAAGTTAACAAAGGTTTATTATGAAAAATTCAACCGGGGGAGGGGAAAAGGGAGAGGAAAAATGATAACTCAAAAGCTCCTCACCGGGTCGGCCAGGGACATCAGGAGGCTTCGCCAGATTCCTCCTGGTGCAGAAAAGAGAGAATGTATTTCGTTAGAACCGTCTCGTTTGAGGAACATCCCCTGGGTCTCACCCTCCTCGCGTTCCGGCTGTCTCGCTCGCTCGCTTTCTCCTCCGTGTCTCCGGGGAGGAAGGCTTAAAACAGGATCCCGATTGCCTGCGTGATTACCGACACCTGGGAGGGGAACTCAGTGACACCTGGGGTAGTACCGCCCTTCCACTACCATGCCTCTTGGTGGCCCTCTCCTGGCGGTTTCTCGCCACGTGGGGCACTGCTCACCGGCTGGACTCTCAAAGAGCCTGGAGCAGCATCGACAAAATGATCGATCTAAAGGTTATCAGAAGATTGTCCGACAGGAGAGGTTTCTGTGGAAAAATTGTTCAATCCCAATCCGAAACACAAGAACCAAGTGGAGAGTGTGGTTAAAACAGTAAGTTGGTTTACTAACACTTTGACAGAAACCAATTGAATCTAATAATGAAAGAAATGCAGTACCAAGGCTGTCGTTGTCGACATCCACATGAATGTTAAAATCACCCACAATAATTTCCAAACTCGTTAAACTCGAAAATTCAGAAAGAAATTCAGAATAAGGACTTGGGGCCCGTACACAAAGATAACCGGCTGGATGATTTTTCAGGTTGGTTGCGAAAGACTGAATACCAGGCTTTTCAAATTAGCTGTAATCCACTTTAGGTTTAAAGTTTATTTAAAGGCAAGAGACATAAATAGCTGCAGCATAAATCGCGTGTCTTTATTTAGCATGCCCCAGAATTTGGAGACTTTGCGCATGTAGGCTGTAACAACAAGTAGGATAGGGTGTGAAATGTGTACTACAGCCCCCCCACACCGGTCAGCTCCCACCCATTGGCGTTGGATCTGTGGGAAACACTGATTCTATATATATATATATATATTCTATTTAATATTCAAATTCTTGTGAGAATCTTATGAAGGTCAAACATGTATTAAGTCATTGGAAGAAAGTTGTAAGATACATTTTAAGGGCTTACAATGAGTGCTGGTACTGTCATGTTATGGACGGATTTATTCTGCTCTGCATCCTATAGTCAAGGTTGCCAACTTGTAGTGTTAGCATGTTCGCTGCGTGCTTAGTATGCTCGCTGCTAGCGTTAGCATGTAGCATTGAAACTGGTCCAAAGTGAATAATACTTTTTAATGCTTGTTTTATTTATTTACAGATGTCCACCGGCTCCTTTGTGGCATATAAAAAAGGAAATGGAGTTTGTTGTTGTATTTTAAAGAACATGGTTTATGTTATATTTATATTGTTGGTTAATGAATACAAATGCGTCGTTGCATGTGTCACATGGTCTTTGTGTTGTATGTGGAAACTTTTGATGTGTCACGGTGAGTATTTAACTGCTGCATATTTCATTGTCAGCATTCCCATTTACTGGACATTTCAAATACGGGGACAATTGTAACAAAAGTGTCAAATGTGAAAAGAATTTCACTGACTTATGAAAGATGTTGATTACGTGATCACATTTAGACCTTATTTCAACAAGATTTGAAATATTGGCTTTTACTTTAAGCACTATAACATATACTGCTGTTTATTCTTTATTTTTATTTCACTTTGAATACAGTGGGTGTTCGTATTTTTTCATAACAAGAAATATTTGTGTACATCGGGAATATATTTGTGAATCCTATGTGTTTTTTTGTTTATATATACGAAATGTTTGCGGAGAGTCGTTTACATCCAAACCACAAAATACATTTGTGAATCCTGCATAGTGTTAAGACCGATGTGACCGCTCACCATTTACCTCTTCAATAAATGTCAAAGAAATGATGGAAAAATATTGATTATTGGAAGCGGGAAAGGAGCATTGCCACTTTGTAGGCGTGGACCTTTAACTAAAAGTTAAAACCCCTACGACACTCACACAACATCTGACCTATGCTTCACAGGGAGACACTTTCATGCCACACTTGATTTCTGCCATATCATGAAATCGGAGTTCCCCACAACATCCACACATCTGTCAGGTCATGTTTAAGCCGGAGCTGTGTGTCAGCAGTAACACTTCCCATGCAACTCGGCAGGCGCTGCACACCAGGCTGTATAAAAGAGCTGCGAGGACTCGGTGGACCTTTAGCTCCGCGGCGCTGACAAGAGGACCTGCCAGAAGACGCAGCTGTACGGAATATTCCAGTTTATGTCAGGTGTGTTTCAAACATTGACACATTTCTTGTTATTCATATTAAAATGTTTTTTAAGTTTACTAATTAACGCCAATCACTTGTCTGCTTAGATGGAGACCATGAAGAGTGCGAGGACCAACGAGACAGGGGACATTGGCAGGTAGGACAGTTTATTCTAAAGAGGCTTTCAACACAAAGAACCGTATGATTAGAGAGAATAAAAGTTATATTTCCGGACGTTTAGCACATTTTTCCTTTTTGTGTCCCACGGTCAGTGATCTATCAGAGCAGGTCAAAGCCGCCACTAAGGACAGCCACGTCCGAGCTGAAAACACACAGCTGATGCTGAGCTACCAGAAGGGTGACATCACCCTGCCTCAGTACAAGGTGAGCGCTACACAATTTACACATCACACTTTTCTGCTGTTGGTTCTGTTTACATTGTTCAGAAGAAAGAAAGAAAATCTTTTTCTTCATGTCCCGGTCAGGTGCTGCTGTGTTCCCTCCACGAGATCTACAAAGCGCTGGAAGAGGAGCTAGACAGGAATTCTGCCCATCCCGCCGTCGCACCGATATACTTCCCTCAGGAACTCGCCCGTCTGGAGACCCTCGAGAGGGATCTGGAGCACTTCCTGGGGTCCGACTGGAGGAAGAAGGTGGTCGTTCCCGGAGCCACGCACAGATACCAACAGAGACTCCGACGGGTGAGCGGAGGGGAAGGAGCTCAGTCAACGTCGAGCACAGGCCTGTTGTGACACCATCTTGTGTTGTTGTCGTTTCATTTAACAGATTGGCAAAGAGAGGCCTGAGCTGTTGGTGGCCCATGCTTACACGCGTTACCTCGGCGACCTTTCGGGAGGTCAAGTGCTGGGGAAAATCACCCAGAAATCTCTAGGGCTGAGCAGCAAAGAGGGGCTTTCGTTTTTCTCTTTTCCCGGCGTGAGCAGCGCCAACCGCTTCAAGCAGCTGTACAGGAGCCGGATGAACAGCATCGAGCTGACGGAGGAGGAGAGGGCGGCGGTGCTGGAGGAGGCCGTCGCCGCCTTCGAGCTTAACATCCAGGTGAGCAAAAGAGGGATCACAGCGCAGATTTACCGTTTGCATGGACAGTGTGGCGGCAGTGACTTGTAATGGCATCCAGAATCCCCTTAATAGTCACACAGGAACCTGCAAAAAGAGAACTGAATCTGTCAACATTATCTTTTTTTTTTACGTCTATTCCTTCAGGTTTTTGATGACTTGCAGAAAATGTTGAGTGTCACAACCGAGATGGGGGACGGGTCAAAGGTCAACGTGGGCCAAAAAACGTCTGCGTTCCCATCTTTACCCATCATGCACACCGTGGGATTGTGTGTGGCTCTCATCACTATTGGACTGGGAATCTACTCCTTGTAGATTTTGTGTGCACACGCAGTACTTTACCAACCAATTAATGCAACTTGTCTAATCTTTAAAGTATCAAATCACAGCTAAAACTAATTCTCAACTGTGACTATTAAAACCATCCTGCACTGTGAAACTCGTTTTACGATTCCTTTTTAATAAAAAAAACTTCTCTCTCTCAACTTATGAGTTCAAATAACCTATGAGCCTCACAGACTGTGAGGCTCATAAGAGTGAGTTGTGGTTTTGGTATAAGAGTGACCATGTGAGAGGATGGATGACAGGGTGTGTGACTGAGGGTGAGTGTCCATATGACATATTAGTGATACTAGATGTGGCAAGAAACGGGTATGGAAGAATACAACTGAGAATACTGGGGGAGTGTTCATATGACATTTGGGAGGTTACAGTAAATGATGGTGCAAGACTTCAACTGACACTATGCTTGACTTAGATTCAGACACAGATCCAGAGAGTAAGTACTTCAACAATGGGAGAAATTGTGACTACTACACGGAAAATCAGTTCAACGAAAAGTTTGGGTCAGAACACAATATAAAGATAATACACTTCAAGGGGGAGTTGCACTTTATGTTGATAGAAGACTTAAGTACAAGATTGTTGAAAGTATGACGGCTGCAATTGATGATATATGTGAATGTATTACTATTGAAATAGATATGGGGAAAAGGAAGAACATCATTGTCAGCTGTGCCTACCGGGCTCCCAACAATAGCATAGAGAAGTTCAAGGAGGTGATGGAGAGTATGGCTACAAACACCGAGCAAAAGGTAACTTTTCTCTGTGGCGATTACAACATCGATCTTCTGAATCCTAAAAAACTAACACCGATAGAGAAATTCATGGATGCAATGTACAGCAAAAGCTTGTATCCTACTATTACTAAACCTAGTCGAATTACAGTCCACTCTGCAACACTTATAGATAATATTTTTACTAATAACCTAATAGATAATATAGAAAGTGGATTATTATTAAATGATATTAGTGACCATCTGCCGGTGTTTTCATTCTACAGCGGTGCACCTAGGTTGGCTGAAAGGAATGAAATGATAGAAAGGAGATTAAGAACGGTTGACAATCTAAACAAGTTCAGAAATGAATTAAGTGCACAAAACTGGAGAAAGGTTTATGAGGCAGAGGAGGTTGATTATGCTTATGATTCCTTCCTGCAAACTTTTCTGATGTTATATGACAGATGCTGTCCAATTCAGCAAAGCAGAAAACGAGCAAATCGCTCAGATAAACCTTGGCTTACAAAGGGTCTGTTGAACGCCTGTAAAAAGAAGAACTTCTTATATAAAGAGTTTATCAAGAATAGAAATAAGGAGAAAGAAATTAAGTATAAAAGATATAAAAATAAATTAACTGATATTATGCGAAATTGTAAAAAGGATTATTATTGTAAACTACTATATAAAAATAAAAATAATATAAAGGAAACATGGAAGATCTTAAATTCAATTATAAGAAATCAATCGACCAGCTCTGGATTGCCAGAAGAAATTCTAGATAATGATAAGATTATTAATGACAAAAAGGAGATGGTAGAAGGCTTCAATAAATTCTTTGTAAATGTGGGCCCTAAACTAGAAGAGCAGATAAACCTTCCGGAGGGGGGATGCGTAGCACATTATTTGGGCAAGAGGAACCCAGATACTATCTTTCTGAAGTACACCGATAAAAATGAAATTATAGCCATAGTTAATAACTTAAAAAAAAAAAACATCAAGAGACTGGAATGGTAATCATATGACAATAGTAAAAGAAGTCATCATTATTATAGCAGATCCCCTAGCACATATCTGTAATGTTTCACTTCAAACGGGCTTCTTTCCAACCAAAATGAAAACTGCTAAGGTAATTCTGATTTTCAAAGAAGGTGAAAAAAACCTTTACAATAACTACAGACCAGTCTCCCTGCTTTCCCAATTTTCCAAAATTTTGGAAAAAATATTTGCTACAAGGATGGACAGTTTCATAGATAAACATGGATTACTCATAGTCAATATGGTTTTAGGCCAAACCGATCAACATCATTGGCACTCATGGACTTAGTAGAAGAACTGACAAGCACAATAGATAACAAAAAGATGGCAATAGGGGTCTTCATAGATCTGAAGAAGGCATTTGACACAATAAACCATGATATACTGCTACACAAACTGGAAAGCTATGGGATCAGAGGGGTTGGACTAAATTGGGTACAAAGTTACATAGGACAAAGAAAACAGTTTGTACAGATAGGGGATAAGAAGTCCTCCTTAAGAAATATTACCTGTGGTGTGCCGCAAGGATCAATACTGGGTCCAAAACTATTTATTATTTATATAAATGATATAAGTAATGCTTCCAGGATCCTGAAAAATGTTATTTTTGCAGATGACACAAATGTATTCTGTGAAGGAGGGAACCTCGAACAGTTGTTGGAGGCGGTCTCGACTGAGTTAACCAAGCTGAAATTGTGGTTTGATATAAATAGATTATCACTTAATGTATAGAAAACCAAATTTATGGTCTTTGGTAAAAGTAACACACAAGCAAACACACACATTGAACTAAAGATCGATAATATAAAAATCGAAAGGGTGTTTGAATACTCCTTTCTAGGTGTAATGATAGACCACAAGCTCAGCTGCAGGCCACAGGTCACTCGTGTACACTCAAAATTGGCACGATGTGCAGGGATACTAGTCAGAGTCAGACATATATTGAATATACAATCACTGCATACACTATACTGTACACTGTTTGCCCCCTATTTGAGTTACTGTGTGGAAGTGTGGGGTAATACCTACAAAAGCACCCTACAGGCAATATGCACAATTAAAAAAAAAGCAATACGGATAGTTAATAAGGTGGGGTACTATGAACACACAAACACATTATTTCTGAAATTAAATATATTAAAATTTATGGACTTAACAGATTTTAAAACGTTACAGATTGTATTTAAAGCAAGAAACAGCCTACTCTCAGGAAACATTCAAAGTTGGTTTAGCGACAGACTAGGAGACTATAATTTAGGAGTGAGACTGAAACTGAGGCAACCAAAGGTGCACTCTACACTGAAAAGCAGGTGCATATCGGTCTGTGGGGTGAAGTTGTGGAACAACTTACCAGATAAGATCAAAGATTGTAAACATATTGCACAGTTCAAAAAACATCTTAAATTATACACATTAGCCAAATATGAGATCTGTGAAAATATTCAGTGACAGAAATTTAAATTGTATTTATTTGTGCGTGTGAGTATGCGTGCGTGTGTGCGTGTGAGAGAGAGTGTGTGTGAGAGAGTGTGTGTATGTATGTATGATATTAAAAGTAATATATACTAATTGAGAATATGGATAAGAGAGGGGTGGGTATCTATAAGCTTTTGCTTCCCTCTAATCCTTTTCTTGAACAAAAGGTGACTTTTCTAATTTTGTAGTCTATGTTGATTTTTACATTTTTTAATGTTTATATGTTCAAGAAATAAAATGCTTCAAAAAAAAAAAAACACTTTAATTTTTATTATTATTTTTTTACACATCATGCGGAAGCTTGATAACATTTGTGTGGCAGCGTTGTGGTTACAAGTAATCCGACAGCTGCTGCTCAAATGAATCCCCTCCAGACAGCGACCGAATACTCAAAGAGGTCCGTTGGGAAAGACAGAGTGCTGTGAACAGGCAAACATCAAACTATTTACATCAACAATGCTCCTGTCGGCGCACGGCTTGCTCTACTTGACTCTGTAGAGCACTTTCCTCTGCATGCGGTGCTGCAGCTCGCCCCTTCTCAACATCAGTTGCAGGACTTTATAGATGGCGTGCTCTGGATACTTCTGTTAAGAGGAAGACACAACCAGATAGGAGCGATGAGTCCTCAAATCAACAGAATAAAAAAACGTTTTTTAAAAGTCATTGTTTTGTTAAAGATAGTTTTAGGTTGGATATTGTTGTACCGTTTAGTACTTAACTTTCCCTGAATATTTTGTAATATTAATATAATAATATTTAACGAACACTCGTAACCCTACGACAAAACTTTCTCTGTTTCTTCAGCAGCCGCGTTGGTGTGCCTCAAGGTTCTTTCCTTGGCTCCCTTGTATTTTCTATAAAAATACACCATCGTGGCTTGGTTTTTCTTAGTAGCCTCCACTGAATTCAGTCAAAATGTCCAGCTTCATTTGAAAGGTTTGAGATTTAGTGCATATACGTTTGTAGGAAACAAGCTCCAAATGTGTTTTGCCATTTGTTCGTCAACAATGGAGCGTTTGGCTTAAAATGACATGTTTTATTATGGAATAGTGCCATTCTTGACCACCATCATCATCATCATCATCTGGTGAGACAGACCTGTTTGGTGAAGTCTTGGACGATGCTGTGCTCGGACACTTGAGAGCCAATAGCGAAGCGTCTCTTCATCTGCTTCTCAACGCGCGAGATCATTTCCTGGTCCTCCTGGGAAGTGAAGCCCTCCACTCCTGGTAGCAAAATGTGGTGCGAGAGATGTTGAGAATGGAGAAACATTTCCTGTCACGCGTCACCAAGTCGAACATGACTGCCGACACACACCTGAAAGGCTTCCAGACAGCGCAGCATCCAGTGTGGACACCTGGAAGAGTCGGAGGGCCTCGTCCACCTCTTCCTCTCCGGCCACAGCCTGGAGCTTCATCTTGGCCAGCGACTCTGCGATGCGCACGACGGCCTCCAGCTGCCTTGAAGAAGCAGACGCGCACACGTTCACTCACAGAACCCCCGTGTGACTAAAACGCAGGGGGGGGCGGGGGGGGGCAGAAGTCGGGGCTACGAATTCACCGCTGACGTGTCTAAGCGGGAGACTGGGTGTTTGAAAAGACAATACCTGACGGTGATGGGGATGGAGGGCCTTTTGTCGGACTCCCTTTCGTGCTCCCTTGCTCCGCTCCTCATCACCACGTACCGGTTCTTCAGCTTCTCGGCGGCCGCGGCGGAGAGCCGAGGGCCACACTTACTGCGGACATTCAGAACCCGGCATTGTGATCAGCCCCGTTCTTAAAGCCTCAAGACTGCTGCAGCTCGCGCGTTGACAGAGACTCACGTTCTGGAATAGGCGATGTATTTCTTGAAGGTGGCCAGTGGAATCTCACCCTCGACGCCCTCAGTCTGCGTCTGGGCGCTCAGGTGAACGTTCATCACGTGACGAGCAAGCGTCTATAGGGCGGAGTCATGCATTTTTTAAATTTTTTATTAAAAAGAGCCTTCATGTTCCTCTCAATGACGCTGAATCAAAGCATGCGCCTCCTCACCATGTCCCGCTGATGGTCGTGGTGGTCTTTGATGATGAAGATCATGTCAAAACGGGACAGGATGGTTGGCATGAAGTCGATGTTGTCTTCCCCCTTCGTGTCGTCCCAGCGGCCGAACACAGAGTTGGCGGCAGCCAGCACGGAGCAGCGAGAGTTCAGGGTGGTGGTGATGCCCGCCTGCAGGGGGTTGTCAAAGTGTAACGTTCCCCCGGTAACACACTAAAAAACGACATTGGGTCTTAACGAATGGGTCAGTACCTTGGCAATGGAAATGGTCTGTTGCTCCATGGCTTCGTGAATGGCCACTCGGTCGTCCTCTCGCATCTGAATAACATTTCAATGAATGAAATGTGTCCCTTGGACACGAATAAGGTGGAATAGCCTCCTTCTCCCACACAAAACCGCCTCTTTTACCTTGTCGAACTCGTCGATGCACACGACTCCGCCATCGGCCAGCACCATGGCCCCTCCCTCCATGATGAACCCGCGGGTGTGGGGGTCCCTCAGCACAGAGGCGGTCAGACCCGCGGCACTGCTGCCTTTCCCCGAGGTATACACCTGGGCGGAGCACAACAGAGAGTCGGCATTAGTGAGCGAACAGCTCGCAACGAATTTAGGGAAACTGAAGAGGATGGTTACCCCGATAGGCGAGCACCTCTCCACAAACTTCAGCAGCTGGGACTTGGCCGTGCCAGGATCTCCCAGCATCAGGAGGTTGATGTCCCCCCTGCGAGTGAGTCCGTCGGGAAGCCTGAAGAGACGGGGGGGCAGCTCGGGGCGTTACTAAACAGGCGCGGGGGGAAGGGGAAGGGTCTCATCGCCGAAGCCAAACCCCCGTAGCCTCACCTCTTCCTTGAACCCCCAAACAGCAGACAGGTGATGGCCTTTTTCAGATCTTCGCTGCCGTAGATGGAGGGAGCTACGGAGCGGGCCAGGGAGCCGTAAACGTTTGGCGAGGCGGACAGCGCTCTCAGCTCCTCCTCCTCCTGTGGGGTGACCGAGCCAGTCGCGCCACGTCCTGGAAGGAGACAAACACATGTGGAATCCAGTGCGTCACACTTTTTTTCTTGTTTTTGTTTGTTGTTGCAGAAAGCCAACCCTACCTGCTCCTTCCGTGTCCACCTGGATGCCAACCACTCGCAGGTAGGACGCACGGATGCCCACGCCGGAACTCTTCTCTCTGCCATGGGGCTTCACGGCGGCCGTCTTCTTGATGGAGTAGATACCCACGATGGTCACTCGGTTGCCCGGGACCACGCGGTCACACAGATACCTGGAGGGGGGGGGGGGGCGAGGAGAAGGGGAACAGCTTGAACCAACAAGCCGTCACACTTCATTGGCGCCACTGGCTTGAGTGCGCGTCGTTTACCGGTCGCAGTAGAGCTGCATGTGACGGGGCATCTCTCCGTGAGGCACGGCGTCCGGGGACTCCTGCAGGCGCAGCGTCTTGAAGTACACGCAAACGGCAGCGTCCGGAAGGAGAAGTAGGGGTCACCGGGACACCTTTGCCCTTTCCAGAATTCTCTCTGTGCAAAAAGAGAGCGAGAGAAAAAGGGCAAACGACAAGGAAAATTAAACCGGGGGGGGGGGGGGAAACATCGGACTCTTGTGCCGGCCTTTTGTCAGCGCTGAGGCGGTCGCACTCACTGATTGCACTTGCGTGGCAGGGCGTAACCCTGCAGGCCCGGGGGCAGAGGGATGTTGTTGATGAGGTGGCGACAGCTGCGGCACTGCAGACACACCTTGGTGGCCTTCGCCCTCACTGGCGTGGCCGAGATGATGATGCCGTGCACCTTCACCAGACGGGACACCTGCTCCGACTACGAGGGGGAGAGGGAAACGTGAGATGCGATCAGCTGGCCGACGACAGCGAGACACAAAAAATGAAAAAAGGGGGGGGCCCGTTGGGTACCTTGAGGCCACGGATGGAGGCGTGATGCGCGTCGCTCCTCAGCATGACCTGGATGTCCTGGACGGTCTCCTCCCCCACGGGCCGGGGGCGGGTCACCTCGTCGGCCAACTCCTTCGCAGCTTCCTCCAGCTGTAAGTTAGAGCAAATTATTAAGGAGGAGAGAATATTGTGTAGAAGAGTTGTTATCGTTTTCCTTTCATCACATAAGACTCACCATCGGCAGGTTCTCTGATGGCACCTTGTAGAGACAGTCTGACAGGTCCTCGTCAAAGCTGGCCAGATCCTCCATCTCCACCTCCACCCAGTACTCCCCCAGTGTGTAGTGTCTCTTCAGCTCATCTCTGAATTGGAAACAATTGTTTAGAATAACAGGAACCGCACCAGAGTCATCTCAACAAATTTGTTAGTTAAAAACCGGCACTTCTGTAGTTTTCGTTTACCACTAAATGCATGTTGAGCTCCAGAAATGCAGGAAACAACATTTCCCACAATTCTCTTCTTTTGCTTTCAAGCTACACACAACGCTGTCAAGCAGGCCCAAAGGGGGGTGACTGTGATGACATCATCAAGGTGCTGAGCAGCACATTTTAATCAATACCACATGTTAAGTGGATAACCATTTGTTTAATATTGATTCCTGCTTCATCGCTGTTATTCCAGGCAGTTTGTACAGTAACGTTATTGGTGCATATCCTTATCCTTCTTGTTAGGAGAGGATTGCATTCATCCACCTGTAAGTCCATCTCCTCACCCTGAACTCACCTGTATTTATAGGTGAAGCCCGTGCGGTCAGTACCCACTCGGAATTGGCGGAGGAACTCACGGAACCGTTTCTTGATCTGGATCTTCTTCAGTCCGCCTTCATCCCCGCCGTGTCCGTCGCCACCTCCGAAGCTGTCGCTGTAGTAAACTCCCGGGTCGTCAAAGCCGGACATACTGAACCAGGTCTCTGAGCTACTGGAGACGGAATGAAACCGGACTAGTTTCTTAATCAAGAGACAAAAACACGGATGGGTGTAAACTGCAGGAGACGAAGCTGCTCTGTGTGCGCGTGTTACGTGGGCAAAAACACTGCAACTCTTTCCCGTCTTTTTCCCGCGCCTGGCGTCTGGCAACGCCCCTATGCGGTGCTCTGATTGGCTGTAATCGTTAGGACCTGCTGCTATTGGTCGAGGTGGCTTTACGGAGGGGCGCCTGCGACGGAAAGGCGGGGTTTGTGAAGCCTGGTGGCGGGAAAAAGACACCAGGAGGAGGAGGAGGAGGAAGCATGGGGGCAAGAAGCGGCCATGCGCCACAGAACAATGAATGCAACGACAAAGTGCAATCGTAGTTAGACCAAAACACACATTTACAACCGGCAATGAGTACAGCGCTTCTCCGTAAGGAAGCTCTTTTGATTTAAGTGTTTAAAGTAATTGGACAAAGTCTCAGCAAATAAGTTTAGTTTGAGAAACTTGGTGTTGATGTGGAATGGCAGATGTGTGGTAAGACATCGTACAAGGATTTCATGTAATACCAATGTCAAAATAATACCCTCCAGTTTCTTAAACCACCACAGGAGATTCAAAGGTTATTTGCTGTAGTGTCCATTCTCAGATTATTTACCTGGAAGGGCTTCAAAAGCAAAGATTGATTGAAAGTTGAGAAATCATAAACTGAGAGTTAAGGTAAACAAAGACAAACACGTCTACTTTATTGTACGAAGCTCAAATGTCAGAGTGAAGGGACAATAAGACAAAACACATTTGAGAGGAGGCAGACTTTAATGTTTTCATAATCAGCATGCACCAGTTGTTGCATCTTCTAAAGGGGAAAAAAGGCAAAGCGGCGCTCATGTGTTGAGTTGCAGCATGACATTTGTGTGCTTTGACATTATATATATGCACGTAATGTCAAATTTCCTGAATGAACATGTTCTAACTTCCTTCACTCCTTAAATAATTTCCCTCATTAGAAAGCACAAACAAAGCGGTCAGGTTCATTTCTGGTTTCAGTCTCATGTGTTATATCCTTTTGAATATTAAAAACACAATCTGTTAAATGAATTAACTACCCCAAATAAACCCATCGATTGCCAAGTAATTCTTATAATGCAAACACCTTCACACGCAAGTGCTTCAATCAGCTAAGCAAACACAAAAATAACAAACCTCTGCTGACCTACAAACGTAACTAATATTTCCATCGACATCATTCAAAGGTCTCGAGTAACAGGAGGCACGACGCGGCGAAAGCGAGCGCCGGCGTTGAGCGATTCACGCCGGGGGGGGCTGCACCCTCCCCCGGTATCTGGATGGCTGCGGCTCCGCTCAGGGGACGACGCCGTGCTTCCTGCCCGTCTGGATGAAAGCGTCCACGCAGTGGTCGATGTCTTCGTCCGTGTGCGCGGCTGAGATCTGAACGCGGATCCTGGCCTTGCCCTTCGGTACGACGGGGAAGGAGAATCCGATCACGTACACTCCTGTGGAGGCGAGACACTCGGTAGTCAGGGGGGAGGGACATCGAGTCCTCAGACACTCTGCTGTGACCTTCCATAGATCTAAAGTTTTAATGGTTTAATGTAAAGTGCTGCTGAATGAATACTGCTAATCAATCAGTCAATTGACAAAAGATTTCTTTACTTGTGTTTTTTTCAAAAAGTAAGACAGGATGAAGATAGACGTTGTTTAGCAAGTCAGCCTCTAGGAGGCTCGTAAGGTCAAAAACAGTTAGGAGAAGGACTTTAAAAAGGGGGGTAAAGATATTCTTAGGCAGAAGAGAAAATGGGGGAAAGACAAACAGGAGAAATACGCATGACAGAGAGTTCGTGAAAGCACCAGAAATGAGGAAAAAGTTTCCGTCTTGATCTCGTCTTCGCTATCAGAATTTAAATTCTTCATAATAAATCAGGACTTTCTCAGAAACAACTTATTTTTTTTAGGAGGTTTCCAACGCCCCCTCACCCAGCTTCAGCATGTCGTCGGCCATGAGGGAGGCCAGCCGGGCGTCGCCCAGCATCACGGGACAGATGGGGTGAGCTGACCCCGAGATGGTGAAGCCAGCCTGCGCCATCTTGCTCCTGAACCTGGATGGACAGCACAGATAAAACAAATAAATATAATATATATATATATTACAGGAGGGACAACTTTCAATGGACTGCACTTCAATCTATTTTACATTGTATATTATCTGTCAGGGTCACAGAGCGACATGTAGTGTTTCCCTGCAGACAAGCGGAAAAAGGCGATAACCCACCTCATGGTCTTGGCCACCATGCTCTGTGAAATCTCGTTGGAGGCGAGCAGCAGCTCCACCGCCCGGGTGGCACAGGCCACCACCGGAGGGGGGAGGGAGTTGGAGAAGAGGTAGGGGCGCGAGCGCTGCCTCAGCAGGTCGATGAGGGGCTTGGGGCCGACTGTGTAGCCACCTGAAGGAGAAAAGGAGAAGCCCGAGAACAGAACATCTACAACGTGGTTTGTTGACATTTTTTGGGAAATCTTTTGTTTGCCATTAGGAGCGATAGAAATCTCCTGTACGTATGTTAAGTATAAGGTGACATCCAGGGCGCGGTTAGCTCAGCGTAGAGACCGCTGGGAGGAAACGGCGAGCCTGGTCCTGTTATGCACATTGCCGTGGACTACTTCCATTTCTTAATAAATGAGTCTCCGCCGGTTGCCTGCAAACTCCCATAAACCCTGTAAACCCCTTGATTGTTATCTATAGGCCTCCAGGTTGTCCGGCTGCGGCAACCAGTCGTGTCATCACTTTGTCAGGGTGACTTTTGACCCTCAAATTCGAGTCAGTTCTTTCATTTTTGAGTCTACGTTGGATGTTCCTGCCTCTCTCCAAGGCTTGAGGAAATCCCCTTCACAATGAAAAGTCCTAAAAAGCAGAGAAATTAAGCTTGACTCCTCGACACTTCCTATACTTAAAATGCACTCGCTGTTTCCACCAGCTACGTCTGAAGATCAGCCATAATACACACAGAAGTCCTCAAAGCCCCAGGTGAGTTTAGGGTTCCAAAATTCGTTGGAAGTTGGAAAATTTGCATGGGAATACACAGGAACATTGGGGAATTAACGGGAATAAACTGGAAATGTTGGGTTGACTCAACTTACCAGCTGCTCCACCCAGCGCTTTCCCCAGGGTGGAGTTAACAATGTCCACTCTGCCCATCACTCCCAGGAGCTCGTCCGTTCCTCTGCAGATCCAAAGGAACTTACATTAGTTCAGCCCCTCCGCAACCAAGGCTCTAAGCACAGATGTGTGCACATGAAGACTGCATACTAATGACCACAATCCTATCTGTACTTGCTTATGTGGCATCTTATCCAATATATTTTAACTGCCATGATGTGTTTTTCTTGTAATGCATGATTTTGTTGTATCAAGTGCTATTCAGAGAGGCGGTGTATTAATGTTAAACCAACCTGCTGAAATAAAGCAGTATTATTCCACACTGATTGGTTCATCTTTGAAAGCACCTAACAGGGCACAGCCTGGTCCTTTGAACTCTGCATGCATCCTTTGGGGGTGAAACCGGGACCTCACCCACCTGCCTCGGGGCCCCAGGAATCCGGTGGCGTGGCATTCGTCGATGAACACCATGGCGCCGTACTGCTCGGCCAGGTCACAGATTTCTGACAACGGAGCCACGTCTCCATCCATGGAGAAGACGCCGTCTGTGACCACCAGGCGCATGCGAGATGACTGAGGAGAACCGAGACACCACAGGAAGATGGCTTTGATGCACCCTCACACTCAAATGGACACGGACCTGCGTCCACCACTCTGAATAATGATGTGGAGACTTATGATTCTTCTTGACGCGTCTTAAAGTAAAAGAATAAAAAGGATGGGAGACCTTGTTGCACAGAACGTAGAACATCCTAACACACCTGGGACTCTTTCAGCTTGTTCTCCAGGTCTCCGATGTCCATGTGCTTGTAGCGCAGCCGCTTTGCTCGACACAGTCGGATCCCGTCGATGATGGAGGCGTGGTTCAGCTCGTCGGACAGCACCGCGTCATCCGGGCCCAACAGAACCTGCGCGGAGGAGAACCGACAGAATACTTCACCGATCCCAACGGGAAGGATCCGTCTCTGCCTCGTGAAGCGCGACGTACCTCAAACAGCCCGGCGTTTGCATCGAAACAGCTGGCGTAGAGGATGCAGTCCTCCCTCTCGTGGAACTCGGCCAGCTTCTGCTCCAGATCTTTGTGTAGGTCCTGTGAACCCAGAGCGAGCGCTTTGTAACCGCCCGGGGGGCACTGAGCTGCTTTAACGCCACGTCGACCGGGTGTCTTTTCGCTGTTGATGTGCCGATTGAGTGGCGTCGTACCTGTGTGCCACAGATGAACCTGACGGAGCTCAGCCCGGCACCGTGCGTCTTCAGAGCGTCAATCCCGGCCTGCACCACCTCCGGGTGACTGGACAGTCCCAGGTAGTTGTTGGCGCAGAAGTTCAATATGCCTTGAGGGAGACGGAGTGGAGATGGAGAGCAGGAGACCATTTGGTGCAAATTCAGATCGGTGAAATAACAACAACCAAAGAGAGACAGTCAAACCCCGCAGGAGAAAATCTGTCTGTGTTTGGTTTATTGGCACAAAGCAAAGGGAACAAAGAAGGATAAATTACATCAATGCACTGGGGTGTTAACATCAGGATGGATGAACTAAGTTTCACACATGCGTAATGACACGGAGTCATAACTCAGCAGAACTGGACAGTAAAGGTCACATTAGTTCCGTTTATGTTACAAGAACATTTAAAAAACCTTTGATTGCAGAATAATCCCGATTTATTTGAGCTTGAATCATGTATTATTTTACGCGTCGTGTCTCGGTTTTTTTTTTTTTAAGTTTGTCTACCGTATGAGTGAATATGCAAACCTCAACAGCGCGACAGCCAGTGCGCCGCGTGGTGCGTTCGAGGACCCTCGGGTCAAATTGCCATCGCGTTATTTATACACGCGCCGTTACTCACGGGAACCGCGTTAGCACTCACCGCCGCGGCTGCCGTCCACGTTGATGCGAGGTCCCTGCTTTGACGTGATGACCCTCTCCGCTTTCCACGTCCCCGCGGACCGGATGGCCTCCAGCTCCCCCCGCAGCAGCGCTCTGGCTTCGGCCACGGCGGAGTAGCGCCGGGCCGGGGCCCGGAGGGCGCCGCGCGCCGGCTTCACCAAACGACGGGCGACCTTTCCGAGAGACATGGCCGTGCGAGGCGAGTGTGTGTCTGTGAGTGTGTGTGTGTGTGTGTGTCAGGAGTTGCGGGCAGGAGACGGAACGGAACGCGAAACGTGGCGGCGTCACGTAAGAAAAAACAAAAAGGCGGAGGCGTACGTGAGGCGGACCAATCAGAGGAGGGGGGCAATTTCGAGGGCGGTGTTTTCTGTCCAATCAGGTTTCAGGGAGCAGCAACGTGTTGCCCGATGTGAACTGCTGTGTTGGACTTTCTTTTTGTTTCTTATCAAAACAACTTCACCTTTTCACTAATTATAAAGCAAACGCAGACGGTGTCACGCGGTATCAACTGCAGTGAGAGCGAAAGGTCTCAGCTGAGATTGTGCCGCTAACAGGCAGTCATTTAAAAAATGTACCTTTAACGTTAGAATGAAAACTGCCCATTAATAGTTAATAGGTTATGTTTAATATGACAATAGTTTGTCAAACTTCAGGTAAAACATCTTCACAAGGGAATGTTGGATGTAAAAAACACCAAAAAAGATGTGAAGCATGAAATTATTGAATTATTTAACAGCCAACCTTCACTTACATACAAGTTACCAGTGTTTGCTACTTAGACAGGCGCGCTTTCCATAACCCATCAGCATTTTTTAACAATATATATATTTATATATAACAGCAATATAGTACATATCGACCTTGCAGAAGTTGCCTTCAGTAACAACACCCCCTCTTTCTTTCAACAGCAGGAATGGAACCATAGAAAATGTGCAAATGTGTGCATTCCACACATGGACAAACCCTCATAACAATGTCAAGTAAGAACCGCCGCCCCTTCATAAAACCACAATACACGTATATCTCTTAAAAAGCCCCCCAGTGAAGAGCAGCGTGCACAGCCATGACATTCTTCTTCAGATGGGCTGTAATTCCCATGTGCCATTCAACATGTTCCCCAGGAGGAAATGTCCCTTTCTCAGCCGATGGGCGCGGGAGCTTTGCGAGCCCGTTAGCGCGTCAGGTTCCTGGTGCAGCTGGAGACTGCGAGTGGCCGGCGTCCTGCGAGGAGGCTCTCAGCGACGGGAGACGCTCAGCTGCTTGCGCTCTCCCTGCCAAGAACTTGTCAAATTCTGCAGAGGGAGAGAAGCCGGATTAGAGGAGACTTCATAAAATTGTCTAAAGTACAGACAAATTTAAGTAAGTAGGGCTGGGCATGTTAATGAGATATATAAATGCGTTAATATCATTCCTTTTTTTTGTTGCATTGTGCGGGGCTTAATCCATTAATCGCTGTCTAATAATAAGGTATTTTTGTACTCAAAACCTGCATGGCTGTACAGGTCTGAGGGAGAGTAAAGCGTGTGCCATCATGGCCCGTTAAAACTATACTGCCACCTACGGGTCAAATGCTCAAATGTGTAACAGATATGAGTGATTAGTTGAAGTAGGCGGTTAATAAACAAAAAAATATGTAGCCAGTCAATTCAGCACAAAATCAGCATGTTCCCCAATAAACGGCGAAAGTGCTTTGGAGGAGGAGATGCAGGACAGGTGGAATAGCGGCCTCGCCACCATCCTGGTCGCCATGGTGCTGCCAATGGTCATGGGCGTGCTGCGCGCACTGCCCGATCTCTCTGGCGATCCATCGCAGTTCCAGAGCCAGTTCACCATGAAGCCGGAGGCGGGGCTCCGGGGTCGCCACAGAAAGGAGAAAACTAACCCTCTACATTGGAAGGAAGACCAGCGACTTCCCTCTAAAAAGGACCAATCTTACACAAACCGCCCAGAAAGAAGTATGTCACAGACTGAGACCAGATCCTAGTCGGGTCCACGCCCTCCATGGTGGGGGAGAAAAGGGTGCCCGAGGCTTTGGGATAAAGAAACAAAAGAAGGTGGAACCTTCCCCGTAGACAATCATTGAACAGGCGCCAACGGCCAGATAAGAAGTTTAAAATGAAACAGACACTGGATGGCCGTATGGTGCAACGCTCCAACTATCAGGTTAAGTAGATGGAGGAATTAGACAGGTCGTTAGCGCCTCGGCCTTACGTAGAAGTGTGGCCTCCCAGTAGAAGTTGCTGTTGGTAAGGATAAGGATAAGACCCGAGAGCAGTAGGCCACAAGGCCCACGTATGTGTGTGCCGGCGCACTGGAGGTCAGCTGGGGAATTAGCTGAGAGGAGGAGGGGGGGTTTAGATAGAGAGGGAATCTTCAAGGCTGAGAGACTAGAGCGTAGCCGGACAGACAGCAGGAACAGTTACGATCAGTGAGGCACCAACGCGATGTCTAATGGAACGTACAAGCCACAGCTAAAGAGCTGGTTTCATTTCATGGTCAGGGAGGGTTCTGTGGCGCCTCACCATGAGTCAGACAGATAAAGCCAACTAGTCGGAAAGGAGGAAGAACAGTGATAAAATTCCACCACAACACCAGGGAGCGTAGTATGACACTGCCTGTAGAACTAATGATGACACCAACAATGTACAGCGGGCAAAAAAAAACTAAACTTCTCCTCGGTTACTGAAGGTGTTCACGGATGCCCGATGATTCATTCATGATCATTAAAAAAAAAGAAAAAGAAAAAGGGGTGTAAAGTGAGGAGCGCTTACCTTCACTGGTCACACCGTCTGCATCTTCAAAGTCGTCGTACTGCGTCACACACACATACAAACAATGTTATGGATGCATACAAGAAAAGCTGACATCTACTGTACTTGTATTCGTTTGGATTAAACGTAGGAATGGAGCCATTCACCTCGTTGTCCAGCTCTAACCATTTCTCTATGTCGTCCATTACAGTCGACTGGTTGATGGGAATCTGAGAGAGAAAGCAGATGGCGATGGTTCCAGCGGACGCCTTTCAGCTGCTGGTTTAACGTTGCGAAGGTGAAACTAAACTACCAAACCGCCCCAAAAAACAAACATGTAGTACAAAAGGAACAACCGCGCGTTGGGAAGAAAAGCATGACAACGATACGGCAGAACAGGAAAGTGCAACCCGAGACGACGTCATGCCTCCTGATGGGTGGAACTAGTCTTCACCACATGAAAAACATGCAAACCATTGGACTCCAGCACAAGAACTGAACCACAAAACCACTGAAAAGTGACCCGTGCCAAAGCAATCCAGACCACAGCAAAAAGTAAAATCACAACCGCACGACAAGACCGAGCGACAGAGGGGCGTGACAGAGGAGGTGAAGCGTCGTGTGACGGCGGGACGCATTTTGCACCAAGACGCACCATCCCCCTTTTAATCATCCAATCTAACTTTGGCGAGGCGCTGCGGGTGGAGGCCGGGCTGTCGTCCTTCACGCGCCGAGAGTCCATTGAGGAGGGAGGCAGTTACCGGGACAAAAATCACACACACACGTTTACTCAACCGGGGGAGCTTTTCATCAGAGGAGCAGAGGATTTCCGTGCGAAAAGCTAGAAAAGGTTTCTGAGGCAAAATGAGCAATTTCCACCGTGAATCTTTCCCTCCCATCAAAAGGTCACGGCGCAGACAAGCAAATCCTGCCTATTTATGAGTAAAAGCTGAACTACACGGCGTCTTTGCTCACCGTTGCAGCGCTGCGTAGTCTGCTGTCCCGAGCCTCGGCTGGGCCGTCCTCTGCGACCTCACTCAGCTCACTGAAACACAAGATTTACACGCCGTTTAGCTGCCGCGAGAGCTAATCGTTGGGAAATTAAGCTCCAAAACAAAAATAGACCTATTTACAGTTGCACGGCCGCTCGGTAACATCGTGTTTTTAAACATATTCACATAAAATATGTTGCTGGAGTCAAATATTCAATATATATTTATTACTTTTAACATTAACTATTCAAAACGCATTTTGTGCTTTTAGCCAACTCATTCTACGATTAATTGCCATCTCAACTTCATTCATCATCTTCGGCCTCATTGGGAATCACTCTTTAACTTTCGCAACCTGCGTTTACTGTGAACATCCCCAAGGTCACATCATCAATAGTTTTCTTTGTGTACCTCGGCCTTTGTCGGGTTGAGATATTCTGCGGCAACGCGTCATCTGATTCAGATGTACCTGCAAGAGGAACAGCAAGAAGTTCACAGTGCAAAGAATAAGAGGAGGAACACACTGAGCATGTGCAGAACGGAGGTCACACGTATACTCACTAAGTCGGGCCATCTGACTGGAAAAGCTGTCCGCTTTCGACAGGCTGAATGAGCTGTTGGTAACGGACGCGAACCCTGATTGGCTGACAGACTCGGGCGTCAGATCGAAGTCTGTTAGGTTGACGTACGTTTGACTCTAAAAGGGACAAAAAGGGGAAAGACTTTTCGGTGACTGTCGCCAAAACAATATTCAAACATTACCGATACGCTATTTACCTTCTCTGCTGCGCTTTGGCAGTTCGGTATTCGCCTTTCAAACCTGTGAACGCCACAGCGGAATGGTAAGACACAAGCTGTTGTCATATTCTATAGTAACTGGGAAGGCTTGTGGTGAACCTGTGGTAGCGGGTGAAGGCGCTGTTTATCTCATCGTTCGCTGCCAGCAGCTCCTCGATCAGCTTCTCCTCGCTGAGTCTGGGGACCACCTTTACAATCCTGTCCTGCATTTCCTTACACACTGTGTATAACTGCTAATGACACAATCAGACAAAGAATGTGTGGGTGGGGGTTTGACGGGGGTGTGTGTTGGGGGGGGGGCAGATGCAACACAAAATGTATAAAGTGGGAGATCAGTTAAGGGTAAGGCAGCGTTACTCGAAGAGACTGGAAGGAAATGAGTGGCACCGAACACGTCTTTAGAGCCTGAATGCGCGCTAGCGTGTCATTGTTTCCTTTACCTCCAGCAGCTCCATGTCGGCTTCTTTCACCGTGACGGGGTCCAGCTGAGTCATCATGTCGGACATCATCGTCAGGTTGCTTCGCACCACTCCCAGCTCCGTCTTCAGCTGTTTTACCTGGGGGAGGGGTGGGGGGGCGGGATCAATATTTCCTGAATAAGCACAGCTAAAGGCATGTATTGATTTATGTAGGGCCGCAGGCCAAAGGGAGACAAAAGGAAGCGTGAAACAGCAGACAGTGCCATTGAAGTGGCGTAGAGCGGCCATCACCTGGACGGACGTGAATGCGTTGTTCCCCTCCAGGGCCAGTTTGAGCTCTGAAGTCAGCGGGGGGATGAGCGGCGGTTTGGAGGAGAGGAGCGCGGAGGGCAGCGTAGTGACAGAGGACCCGTTCCCAGGAGAACGCTGGCAAGCAGATGCAAAGAAATGACCCCCAAAGAAAGGAACATCCCCAGAAGACCGCAGGTAGACCCCCCGAAAGAGCGGCGAGCGAGAGCGGCGGCGACGGCATGGCTTGTACCTTTTGGGGGGCTTGGATGGGCGTGTAGCCGTCCAGCTCGGTGACGGGGAACTCGAGTCCCTTCCTGCGCAGGTCTTCGTACACGGACACCACGCCCGTCAGGTCAGGCGAGCTGCGGAATGCATCGGCCCACGCCTTCGACGACAGACAGCCACTAATTACCGTCAGACATCAGGGCTGAGCGCGCATTTTCTTTTCCTCCCACGCTGCCGCAGTGTTGCCAAACGTGTAACGAGGTTGTTATCGGTGCGTATGTTTTACCTGCACAATGCTGAGCACTCTGTCATGCAGAATCAACGGAGGGTTGTTTTTCGGGATGATCGAGCGGACCAGGACGCCTTCTACAAAGTCCCGCGTGGTCACCAGGACGTGAAACTTGTAACCGCAGTTCTTCACGCACGTCTCCAGGACCTGAGGCGAGACGGAGACGCAAGTGCAGCCGGAAAACTCAAAAGGGGGCGTAAACAGCGGGAGCATGAGGGCGAGGAGGGAGCGACACTCACAGTGAGCGCCAGCATGACCTCCTTGAAGTTCCGGTTTCCTACGATCCTTTTCTTCAAGGCTCTGACCGCGTCCTTGGATCTGTAATCACAACACGTGGAACCGTCAGTGGCGTGTGACCTCCAGAGGACTCGTTTGCTCCCTGATGCGGACGGTTGATAAAAGACACGCATGCACACTAAAATGCACACACCCTTCCTCTGAGCTGTTGATCATGTCGCAGATCTCCATGTTGAGAGCCCAGTCTTCTGATGGCAGGCTAGAGCCTGTCGCACTCTCTGTGGAATAAAAACATGTAAATAAAATGATAAATAATAATAATAAAAACATTTTGCAAAACAAATAATGCTGTCTCTAATATTCTTTAATCCGCTAATATATTCATTTCCCAATTTCCACCTGTGACTGAACAAACTGAAGTAACTAAGCTACAGTTGAACGTGCATCTAATTTGGGTCAGGAGGTTCTGGGCCACTTTTCGTCTCGCCCAGCTATTGGCTGGTTGAAGACGGACACAAAAGGCGACCAATCACGTTGAGCCTGGCAGCAGCTAAATCCCGCCTCCGTCAAACCGTCTCTCAGTAACCCGTTGGTTCGGTCTGCCCTAATGCATTTATCTCGCCTTAATCACGCTAATGTGCTGACATTATATACGTCTTATCTTACGCAATAAAACAACGCAAGCTAGGATGAGAATAAAGGAAGGCGCGGCTCGACACAAGATGCTCGTGCCGGCGGCGTAATGACTCCGGTGAAGGTGGCCGAGCCTGACCGACGTCAAAGGCTCTCGTTTAACACAAAACCCGCGACTCGCGGGCGACATCGAGCAGCTCACCGACTCGCTGTCCCACCGGCGTGCTGAACGGGTTTCCCATTAGGAACTCCATGGTGAGGGCGGTGAGGGCCCCGCGCAGAGCCCCGGTGTGCAGCGACGAGCCCCGCTTTCTCCCGCAGACTGCGGCTCGCGCAACCGGCGCCGCTACGTCACGACTTAAAGGGACAGCAGCACCGCATACGTCAGACGGGCGGTGTGAGAGACACCGCCCGGGAGGACACGGCAACGCCCGCCGCCCATCCGGGCACTTCATAATTATGCTGAAAAAAAAGTTTTTTTGGGGGGTCAACGTGATACACGTGGAATGTGCAACACAGAAAACCAGCTCAGGTTCATGTATCTTACTTTTATTAAAACCTACCATGATATCCAGGTATTAACTAAGGGTCCACATATGATGGACGGGGCCAAAATGACTGCACGAGATTAAGCATGGAAATGAACTTTCACAGGCAAAGAGTGAACCCTGTGTCATCATCACTCCTGCTTGGGGTTGAGAGGTTGCCCGTAAAACAAAAGAAATCCATAACAGCCTTATTGGGGATGTGGGGCCGTGTAGTCGTGTCATAATCAATCATGGATATAAACCATAGCCATGTTTTGTTTTCATTTGTTTAATTCTGCGAGGAATACTACAGCAAAATATTGCTGAATTACAGTAATTTGATAACTGGGTGTGAAATAGTTTAAAATTTGTTGTAAGGGTCAAGCTCCAGCAACACTGGATGAAAATAATTAAGGTCTTACATTATTATAACAGAATCATTAGTTCTATCAGTACTTGTCACGAGTATACTGAGCTTTATATCCGAAGTTGGTGCCCGTTTAGCACTAAATGAACATTTACACAATAAAACAAAAGGTCATGACAAACACAGTTTACTCAGTCACTGCTTCTTCTGGAACTCACAACCGTATCACATGGTTTGTATTAAACATCCTGTTGTCATCCACGTTTGCTTAAAAGTCTGTAAGAACTGTCAAGCTTGACAGGAAAGGAAAATAATCTTGCAAATGTTCCCTCAGTATTCACCGCCGCACCTTAAAAGCGCCGCGCTGGTGAGATGTGGTTCTCTGCCACACGAGTGCACTGTTTGATTTCATATTTCACAACGTCGAGCAGCTCAACGCCGCCTCGTGATTTCTGATGACGTCCCGTCAGGCACCGACTGTCCTTCACACTACGTTGTGCTGACTGGTTTGTCCTCGTTTCCTTTGACAGTTCATTATTGCCGTGCGATTAAGTTGCACACTCCCGAATGAACAGGTGTTTGAACTAGAACAAACAGGGTGAGGGACTCTGTTGTAGCTGTTGGGGACCACAGGCCGGTCTGCAGGAGTATTTACAGTCAGCAAATCTTCTTTTCTGAGTGGGAGGCGTCACCTTCCTTGCAGCTCATTACAAAGACTAGTTGGCTGATTTTTAACATTCCTTTGATCATAGTCGAGATGTGAGTGTGTGAAGTGACTAACAGAGTCAGCAACATGGAATGAAGTTTTTACACCCCTCTGTTTCCACCAGTGATCATCTCACACAACTCTGGCCATTAAAAAATAGGCGTATGTGGGCAGAGTGGGCGATCACAGCGAGGACATAAATCCAGGCGGTTTCTCACACATCAAGAGAAGGGCGTAGTTTTCCTTGACCTGATCCAACGTCTCATAGAGCCTGTTGCTAGATGTTCTTGCAGCAACGTGGAAACCATGTGGTCTTTGCACCGGAACGGAGATCCAGCTTCTCCGCGGGAACTGTAATTACATCTCTTCCATGATCTTCTGAATGATGGCTTCATGAGTGGGAGTGGGGAACCGTGCGGTTCCTGTGCTATTGTATAGAAAGAAAATAGCCAATCGTTCACTGAAATAACATTTTAGGGGTTTCAGAGTAACATATACACAACATTTCCCAGGCCTGCCAGTGGCAACGTCAGTATGTTCATCCAACAGGTTTGAATGTCAGAGATATGACATCACCACTGAAAAACCAATTGGAAACATAAACAGATTCTGTGCAGTTCAGAAGTCTGTTTCATTTCTTCTGCAGAAATGCAAGCGATTGAACCACAGTCCTCAGCTGAGACACACGTTTGACCTTTAAAAAACCACACGTCTTCAATATGTAAATTATTTTAGTCTGAGTTATTCAGAGCAGGTTTTAGCCTCGATATCAAAGTTCTGCACTTCTGCACTCTAATTCTCCCAAATATCTAAATGTGACAGGCGTTGGCATAAGGGCTCTTGGCCAGGAAATTGCTTTTGACTTGAATTGAATCCAACTGTCTATGCAACCATAGCCATGATAACACATTTATAATATATTACATTACCGGCAGAAAAAGTAATATAAAAGACATCACATCTCTCAGAGTGAAATCAGATGGGTGAACCTTTGTGCATTTCCCCTTTCTCCCATTTGCCGTTCAAACCTTTTATTACTTATCAACTCACACAAAACTCTCTCCTGTGTGTCAGCCGACTGCTGGGGGGCCATGCGGCTCCTAACAGTCCGAGCCGGCTATCATTCAACACTTTCACAAAATGTCAAGGGTGCACGCTGAATAAAAAAAAAAAGACCCAAACCATTTAATTGGCCGAGCATGTCGTAGCTTTTCCAGGGACTTCTCAACGTCTCAGCCGACTCTGCGAAGCGAGAGCAAGCAGCTTTTTCCCAGAAGCATCCAATTAGAGTGGGTTGGCAGTAACTTGCCTACATTCACAGTGTGCGGCCCGCTGATTAGGCTGCTCAGCCTGCTAATTAAATACAGCAGAGGAGCGTTGCAGGTCTGTTAATCTGCAGCCAGCTGTGACGGCCAGAGGGATGAAACCTCCAAACGCCACATTACTACGCAGCAGACTATAGCAGGAAAGCGTACCAACCGCTTCCATAATATCCACAAAGATGGATTCATCTTTTTACAAAATGCACTATAAACAATTTAAAGACAGCACAGGGAGGGTTGGCTTGGGGGGAAACGGGGGTGGCACCGCCGCTTAGTCCACCGCGTGACTCATCCGTCGCTGCAGCGTGTATTATTGTGTGCGTATGAGAGGTGAAGGCAGCTGAGGTAAGTTACGTGGAACTGAAACCATCTGGCTTGCTCCTCACCAGGGTGATCAATAATAACTCCTGAACGCCAGACGCACACACACACACACACACACACACACACACACACACACACACACACACACAATCTCATACTGTTGTCATGGTAGTAACACGGAGGACGGAGGCAAGATGTTCTCTGAAGGGGTTGGGTATTTAAGTCCTGTCTCCTGCTCGTTTCTGAAGAGGTGTTGAGATGTCGTCGAACGTATTGAATCAAAACTCTTAGACTCAAAGATGGATTGTATGCAATGACGCTTCATTCTAATGTGGCCGGCTTATTGGAACTTTACGTACTTTAAACCCACTTGGGATTAAAAGCCTTTATTTTGAAAACATTGCATGGATGGCGTGTCACACAAAATAATATCACATTTTAGGTACATTTATTTGTTATTTTTGTTCTTATGTGAAAATCTTTTCCTATGAAACACAGACTGTAAAGCATGTTAATTAATGACGAATCATATCCTGTGCAGATGATGTAGTGTAGTTTGTTCCCAGTGACCTTTACACTCACAGCATTAAATACATCAAAAACACAGCAGCCATAATAATATCTAATTACCTTAATTGGACATAAAGCATTACAATAGCCTAGAAGCTCCACTTCTGCAACACATATACATGCAGTATTCCTTAGTTGCTCATCACATAATATATAATAAGAATAATATGCATCTCTTACGTTGTATGCACATTAGGGTGAATGCAGAACACATACAATACACACATGAAAACACACACACACACACACACACACACACACACACACACACACACTGTGTTTTCTTCCGGGCGGTGTTACATGATGGAGCAGGTGAAGCCGCAGCAGTCCTTCAGTAGTGTAAATCCAGTTTTAGTGAAAATGGGTGCAGTCTTCTGCTGGGCTTCGGACACCGTCGCTTGATCTTGCAAAGCACCTGATTGAACAAGAAGATGTGATGGTAAACTCTCATCCTCCGCATCTTTTACTGAAAAGGTTTCACATTTTGGTGAATTTACTTCTTAGACTGTGGGCTGCATGTTAGCTTAGTTTAGCACAATGGCAGAAACGTGGGAAACAGCCAGCCTGGCTCTGTTGTTGTCCCACCAACATGACGTGCAGTCAGGGTAGGCAAGGTAGGCACTGCCGACCCTGACAAGATTAAAACACAAAAATGTTTATTAAATCATTTCATTTAATAAACTTGTATTTTACACTGTTTATTCTCATAATTAGATACGCAATATGTGTGTTATTCCAATTGTTTAGATGCTACAAAGGCAAATGTAGCCGTTACGCATAATCAAATACAAAGAAATGGTAGAATACGCAGTGCTTTTACCGTCCATCCATTGTGGACAAGCAGAAACCCACGTTCGATCCTGTATTCTGCAACATGTGAAAAAACACAACTCTGCTGTGCCTTTGCACGTAAATAGGTTATGCCAGTAATCATCTATGTTACGATATCGAGATGTTACATGGCGTCACTGCCGTCACTACACCAGCTACGTTGTAAGTGTAGTGCCACGAAATTCAAAGTCGAAATGACGGCGGTGTGACGAGTTTTACAAAGCTGTGATCGACGTCTTCATGAGGAAAAAAATTATTTTATGTACAAATAATCCACACAGCAAAATTCTTAGAGTTAATCTTCCGGTGTTGGGCAAAAGTGTTGAAGTGCAGAGTCTAAATCACACTGCAAAAAGTGATTCAACTCTTACAGAGCCAATTGTACGAAAGAGCTGTCAAGAGCAGGAATTGTTCAGTGTCAAGATCAGATTCATTTGCGACATTTAGTAGAGTTAAATGAACTCTTTGATAGGTTTGAAATGTAACTGTACAGTGTCACACTTGGTGTTTGGTTTAACTCTACTTACTGTGGCGCGTGGAGTAGAAATGGTCAGCCGGGAACCACAAGGTTGGTGGTTTGAACCCTGGTTGCTACATGTCCTGTGTCAAAGTGTCCCATAGCAAGACACCTGACCCCTAATTACTCACCAGGCTAAAATGTAAAAACCATGGGTTTGAAATGTAATGTAAGTCGCTTTGGATAAACGTGTCAGCTAAATTATGTGTAATGTTTTTAACACTGGGCAGATTTATTTTTGACACTTATGCCGAGTTAACTTGTTAACACTTCGTTCAGTGTTGATTTAACACTGACAAGATTGGGACAATATAAACACCAGCTTAGCTCTGAAATTTGCTGTGTATTGGTGAGTCAGAAACTATTTTGGGCTTAATACTGAATTGATAAGTGTGGTGTAACGAATGCCGACTACAACCCATTTGCCTTCATATTCAGCAGTGCGTGTTTGCATTGATGCTGACTGGCAAACATAATTGGCCGCTGTGCAAACATTAAGCAATAATGTCCGACAGGCCGGACTTTGTCATCAATAATGTTGCGATCGGATGCTAAAGCTAGCACTGCCCCAGTACTGACATCACCGCACGTCACTGCCCGCAACGGCCCTCGCAGGTTGCCCGGCAACTGGTCCAATTTGAGAAATAGTTTGTCACACAACCCGCTGTGTTTAACATAAGTGAGATTTCAGCGCGTCGATGGTTTTGATACCTTTGAACAGAGCCGGGCTACAGCTGTTTCCATTCGTCTTCATGCTAAGCTAAGCTAACCTGCCGTTGACCGTGGCTTTAGCCAGTTTAAGCTCATTTCTCAAAATGCCACCAATATAATAAAAATAATTTGCACCAAATAACTTTATCCGTCCTACACACAAGAGTCAAAGGCGGCTTCTGATTGGAAGCACGTGCACACGTGTGTCTTTTGGGTCGGACTCACCTTTTGCAGCCAACGTCTTAGGAAATTTGGACTGTAGGAATGCGGCCATTTCTCTGTCTTCCTCTTGCTCCCTGTGGAGGAGAATATGGCCCCGTTGGTCTTAGTTGTCAGGCATGTGTGCTTCTCAGATTTTCTAATCTTGTCTCATCTTAAATGTCTCTTGGCTCCATTTCAGGGCGAAAGCAAGGCGACAGGCTGACAAATCGTCAGGAGGAGGTTTAATCTAGCCGTGCACGGCGTGGATCCCCGGCCGCTTGTGCAAACGATGTGGCCCTCAATCTATTTCCATCATTGAATAATGACAGAGGAGAGGTGGCATCTCACTTTCCCGCAACCCCCTCCGAGACCAATGAAAATGTCACTCAAACGTATTCTGTCACATCAGCGACTGCCATCTTATCAGAGGTGACAGCTTATTCGGCACCACAAACAAATATATAAAGAGGCAATGCACCAAACACAAAGAGACACAGCGTTATAGGAACAGACCTACGGACGATACGTGGATCAGTATTCTGACACATTGACAATGACTACTGTCAGTTTGTTTTTGCAATAGGTATTGAGTAAGGTTTCGATAATTGTTTTTAAGAAAAGACTGGTTAGCAGTGTTGGGAGTAACGCGTTACAAAGTAACGCATTACTGTAATTCCACTACTTTTAGCGGTAACAAGCATGTAACAAAGTATTTTTTTAAATAAATTAACGCAGTTACAATTACTGAAATTGAAATGAGTTTGTTACTCGCGTTACTCTCTTTTGTGACGCGAAGCGGAGGGCCGGCAAATAGTAAGTAAATAGCTGCATGTCAGCACAAAATAGTTGTGGCCACCAAACGTTGTGTGTCACAGAATAGTCGGCGTACGTGCACGTAAACAGCATCGCGTCGCTCATGACTAAAGAGCGCCGCCCCGCGGATGCTGCAGGCGCCGCTCCACGCAAACAACCAGGGCTCCGCTTTACACGGACTGCAGTGCAGCCGATGAACCGGGCAGAGCTGAATAGATTGATCGCTCGCTATGTTGAAGATGAGATGCATCCTGTCAACTGTCGATTCAGTTGCCTTCAGGCAAATGCCTCAAACAGTTACTTTGTATTAAGTTAAGTATTAAAAAGGCCTTTTGTACTATTGCTTGATTTGAAGGCCCGTTGTCCTGTTGATTACAATAAATAGGTCTAAAAAATATGTTTATTGTGTTTGACTGTTCAGTACTATTTATATTCATTACATTTAAAAAGCAGACATAAAAGTTACTTTCCAGAGTAACTAATTACTTTTGATACATAGTAACTGGTAAGTAATTCAGTTACCTTTAAAAGAAGTAACTAGTAACTAACTAAATACTCATTTTCAGTAACTTGCCCAACACTGCTGGTTAGCATGCTGAAAGCTAATGGTAACGATCAATATTTACAGCGTTAGATCAGCGGGATCTAAACATCCAGACCAGACGTCGGCGTTTCACTCGAGCGATTTGATAATCTCACCTCAGCCTCTCGAACTCCACGTCATCCACAAGGAAGTCTCTGGTCTCCACCAGCTTGTTGATCTGCTGCAGCAGGTCCTCCTCCCTCTCCCGGTCCTCCTTGGACTTGCCATTGTCTGTTCGACATTCACGTGACAAGCAGCATGTGAAATACAGCAACAAGTGTCACAATTATGAACTAGAATGCATTTCAACTTATTGAACTGGGATATAATAGTACCTGTGTTTTTTACCAAAGGCACTTTATCTAATAGCTCTAAAACTACTCAGGTTCATCTAGCAGAACAATTACACTTTTCATTTCACCTTCACTTTAGCAGGAATATTTGTATTTGAGACCGCAGCATAAAAGGTTGCACATACCAAAATATTTTGTCTATCACATTTAATATGACTATATATTTAACAGGAAAATGACATCGTTATTTGACTTTGAAAAACCAAATCCTTTTTATTTCCGACCAGGCCGTTGAGGATGTGTTTAATTCCCTCCACTTCCCATTACAGAAGCACTGCTGGTCAGAAAAATGTCTTTCATTTTTCTAAGATAATCATCATAAGTGGAAGGAAAATGCGTGCTCGCAAATAAAACGCTTTTTGATTAACCTGAAATAGAGACAAGTTCCTGCAGCTCCGTCTTCAGTCTTGTGATTTCTTTGCAGAGCTGGATGTCGTCAATCCTGCGTAGAACAAAAACACATCACAAATATATTTGCAGCAAAACAGATATGAAAAGAAGTTATTGAACTAGACCCCAAATGATCTTTTCTTCCATTCAACAAGCTTTCAAAACGTGGAATGGATTTTATATGACAACAGCAACCCAATTTCCTTCCTACTGGACATAAAAACATCCGTGTGAAACACGGTACTGCAGCGACGTCCGCGAGTCCACTAAGTGGAACAATACCGACCCGCTGCCCCAAATCACACCTGACATTATCAGATCTCATTTCACCGTCTGACTCTGAAGCACAAACATCAGGGGCCGGTCAAAAAAGTCTGTGTGTGTGTGTGTGTGTGTGTGTGTGTGTGTGTGTGTGTAAAAGTGAGGGAAATGACTGTGAGATAAATATGTGCTCTGAGCTGTGGGTTTTATTTCAGCAGGATATTTATCAGGGTGACTCACTCGGTTTATGTCAAGGTAAGACTGCATTATGTCTGTGTTAAAAAAAGAAAGTATGCTGTATTTAACACCGGAATAAGGCAAACTGCAGGCAGCAAACCGGACGTGTGAAATAGAAGCTGCGCTACAAATCACACACGTTCCCTTATGACCAAGTACATACAGTTGAATGCAGTAGCGTTTAATTGGAACATACTATTCCCTCATCGTGCATTGTCCGTGATCTGCGTAATCACACAGTTAGAAGTTGTGCATTGCAGAATTTGTGAAATTGCGAATGTGCGTCTTTTTATCATAAAAAACATACTACTTGCATGTCATAGCATGTCCTCTTGAATGGATTCCATGTTAACTCAGCACTCCGTCTGCTAACAGAATCTGAGAGTATTCAAATCCCTGAACATCAGAGCTCTGCTGTATGTGCCGGCGCAGTGGGACATCTCACATGTATTATCATCTCGGGTCAAATGTCATCGCTGTGTGTCAGAATCCAATCCCTTAAAAAACAACACGGTTTCATGGTTTTGTTCGGTCTGAAATTGAAGGCGGAAGAAGCAGGTCCTACATGTATCTCAGCTCCGATTCCCTCCGTACCAGGATGTCTCTTATCCGCTCAATTCTGCCCAGCTCTCCTTCAATGTCCTCGATCGTGATTGTGGAATCAGCCATCGAAATGACATCCTCTGCTGGAAGACACACGAGACCAAACATAGATTATTGGGTTCAGATCGTGGCTCAGTGTGTTTGCCATCATCAAAAGAAGTGACATAAGCACCAAAAGGAAGCTCATTCTTTCAAGTAAAAATCTGTTCTATAAATTATTTGAAATTGAGGCTGGCAATTCCCTCCACTGCTTTCTTGCTGAATGAGGAGATTAATGCAGCCGGCTAGTTTAACGGGAAGAAGAGTGTCGGCCAGCACCTCTGAAGCTTTAGTGTAAACCACATTTCACTTTGCTCGTTTACCTTTGGAGGAAGCCGAAAGGAAAGGTGAATATTAAAAAGAAACCATAACTGTGTAACTGTCCATGTTTCCATCGCACCGCAAATGAAAAATTTGAGTCATTTATTGTTCTCATTATGTCCAATAAACACCAGTCTCTGTTTCTCAAGGAACACAAAACTTAAACATTGGGAGGTAAAACCTGCAAAGATCCTCGTTGGGCGTTAAATATTAAAAGTGCTCTGGCTCCAATTCACCGGGCTGCTATGATCTGATCAGAGCTCTGTTGTAGAGAGCCCCCCCCCACCCCCCCTGGAATTTTTCAAGCATCACTGTATAGCTGCACTGCCTCCCCCTGCAGCCTCCCACTCCTCACCAGGAGCGATGAGTCATCCAGCAGAGCTCGGGTTGGCTTTTAATTACCTGACCTTGTGTGAAGGGACATAACAATCACACACGGAGCGGATCACTGGGAATAACACTCCAACTCTGTTCACCACACACACACACCAGTGCCCCCCCGCCGACAGCCTCTGGGAAGTTAGTCAAAATCATCTTGATATCAAAAATGAGTAACTGACTTTATTTACTTGTTAAAGCAGGTGTGTGCGAATGCAGTTTATATTGTTTACTGCACCTATTGAAGCATGTGTATCATTTCAATACAGATGTAGTAGCTGTCACACCCTTAAAGCATATTAAAGTCAAGCATATGGTACATGTTCTGTACTAGAAAAGCAAGAAAATAAAAAGAATGTCAGCCTTTGTGTTCTTTTGCACGTATTAAACTGAGGACTGAGCCCAGAGGAATTAAAATAAAATCCAGTGTCGCCCCCCCCCCCGTGCCTCCAAAAAAATGTCCCTGGAAGAGACACAAAGCAACCACGAAGAGACTCAAAATCACCACGAAAGAAACCCACAAAAAGAAGGTATTTTTTTGGAAAACAAATGTCTAATTTGTTCATAATTATGAATTACTATAAAAAATACATTTTTTATTCATTACTAGATTGTTTTCATCATGTTGAATTCTTCTGCAGTGCAATGACATTGTGACTCTCTACAGCTACAAAATAATTAAAATGAAAGATAAAACCAGATCAGCTTAACTGATTGTTGTCATAACAATTATCTGCAGGTATAATTACCATATTCTGTTATTTATCTTGTTTCAGCTTCAAAGTAGGAGAATAACAAGCTTATCTATGTCTGGTGTGACAGTAAACTGAATATGTCAATTTTGGACTATTGGTTGAACAAAAACTATTTGATGGGGAGTAAACTGTGATTCATATTTTATCATTATCTAGATCGATCTTTGATTTGACTAAACAAAAATAACTGGAAGACGATGCATCCTTGCCAGTGTGGAAGAAAGCGGTTATTGAACAAACTGCAGTTTTATTGAGGCTTGATTGATAGATTAACCTGAGAAATCTACTACTGGTCTAAACAGACGACTTCACCGGGTCTGCAGGGACCGGAAGCTTTCATTCTCTGATGAAAGTTGGTGCAATGGACACAAGTCCACTTATTTCTCCAATTGCTTCACACGGCAACACGATCCACGCATGCATCCAAAAAACTGTACTCAAAGCTCACTTGATTTCTCCGTCGCTGCGTCCACCTGCGTCTTCTCCAGGGAGCCGTACTGCTTGGAGGATTTTCTCTCGCTTTCCATATTGTAAAAAAATAACAGAAAAGAAAATCTTTCCTCCTGATTTTTTCTCCAGACACTTCGCAGAAAAATCCAATAAATACCTGTGAAGGCAGACAATGTTTACTAGGAGGAATCGACTGAGTCCATGCAGCGCTGCTGCAACGTGTGAGGGAATACAAGGGAGCGCTGCCAACATATGGGTGGCGGTCCGCTGCAGGGCGCCACCTGCTGGCTGAGTCGAAGAACAACGAGCTACTAAAGAAGAATTATGCTTGAGTGGTGAGAAAGGTATGCAGATCCTTTACATGTTCCACTGCTGTAAATGTTTTGTTACTCCTTTGTATGCCGTTGTCTGGTTTAATCTACAGCAATGCATCATATTCTATAAGATCATCGTATGTTTGTGGAGCTGCTGTGTGAGAATCACGCATTTAGAGAAAGGGAACGGCCCTGTATTACCTGGAACACTATTTATTCACAGTTCACGGGACACAAAGAGTAAATCTTAAAAGTAACTCAAGATACCAGACAAATGCAGTGGACTAATGTCTTCTTTTGAGATGTGGTCGAATTGGTAAATTACCAAATGGGAATCCTTGAGTACAAGAACAACGGATAAACGTATAGAATCAATGATTCTAAAAAGGCTTCAATAAAACAAACATCTGCCCTGCCGACGGTCTGCTGCTCTCTAACCATCACGTCACCGTCCACAGGAGAATCCAGCCGTCCTTCACCATTGCATTTTCATCTTGCGTGATTGAGTTCAGCTGTTCAACGGTATACCGGGGACGACCGGGGCCCCCTCGAGGGCCTCGCCAGATGTTCGAGGGTAGAGGAGGTTGCTAGCAGCGTCCCACTCATTCAAGACAAGAGTTTACACCCAAAGCAGGTGAGCCGGGAGTCTGAAGGCATTTCTCAGCAAGCACATGATTCAGATCATCAACATTTATTTTGGCCGCTGATTTGCACTCAACGTGAAGCTTCTGCTCCTCCATGTGGTGCAGATACTTTATGGCATGAATACAGTTTTCTCTTCACAGTACTCATGTCTAACAGGTGGAAGACTTTCAAAAGACATACAGACACTTTGCAGAGGAATGAAAATGACTCATCCTTATTCACATTTTACATTTCTAACTCAGAAAAAAAAGAATCACCTTGAAATGCAGATTAGACAAAAGATTTTCTGACTCGGATTCAGCAAACACTTGAGAATCTTACGATGCGCTGAGCTCCCTGCAGCTAAACAACCCTCGTTTTATCGGTTCATCACTTCACACAGTCCAAAATAAGGCCCAAACACAGAGGAGCACGGCGGGGACTTTAGCCGTGGACAAACAGCCTGTCCGGGTGTGGTGAGACCGGCCTCACCTTGTGCACACCTCTGGAGTTTACACCCAAGAGGACGAGGCGTCGGGTGTTCCTGTTGACATGACGCGCGTCTCCTCCCCGCCCTCAGTCCTGCGTCCTTGTTTGCTTTAGAACACTCTTTGCTTATGCTAATGTTCAGTCGAGACGGCTCTCGTGGCACAGAGATGAATCCCCGGGTCCATCAGTGCTCTGAGCAGCCATGAGAGTTAAACATACCATGAATATATTACCCCCACACTAAACGATTCTATGTAAATGGTCTGCTGCGCTCGCCGAACTACGTGTCCTCACAGCGCAGGGGTCAACGGTTCATCCTGTTGCTGCTGCCGCCGCCACCGCCGCCTCGGTTGTCGCCCATCGCCTTTTCCAGCCAGTCTCCATCCTGTTCAGACTCGGAGTCGCTTGCCTCGCTCGCGTCCGCCGCCAAAAGCCGAGAGTAGTTGATCCTGCGCAGGCGGGGGGCCTTCCACTGGAGCAGAGGCAGGCAAGCGCACCACGCCACCACACCCACCGCCGCTCCCCTGAACAGCCACGTGAGCCCGAACCGCTGGACCACGAGGCCTCCGGCGAAGCTCCCCAGCCCGCCCCCCAGCTGAGCGAGCGCGCCGTAGACCCTCCTCACGCTCCTCTCGGCCCCCGACGTGGCCACGTCGTCGCAATGAAGCCCCACGGCCCACCAGAGGGCCCCGCCGCTGAGGCAGCTCAGGGCTGGAGCGGGCGCCGCGGCCCACGGCCCCCAGAGGAACGAGTAGTAGAAGCACTGCAACCCGAGGCAGGCGCCCGCAACGGCGAGCACGCGCCCCGGGCTGAGGAGCTTGGACATCCGGCCGGCCAGCAGGGGGAAGGCGGCCTGCGAGAGCAGCGCGACGGCCAGAGACAGCCCCATGTGCAGCTCGCCGCTGCCGTGGTCCTGCATCTGCCACAGGAGGAAGTTGTCCGCGGCGGAGCCCGCCGCCCCGACCAGCAGCACGGTGACGGCGCAGAGCAGCGCGCGAGGGGAGCCGCGCACGAGCCGCGCGGCCCTGAGGAGCCCGCTGGTCCGGTCTCGCTTCCTGTTCAGGTGCAGGGGGAGGTGGGCCGCCAAGGGGAGGGCCGCGGCGGCCAGGGCGGCGTAGCAGAAGAAGTGCGCGGCGCTGCGGGAGAACCCGCCAGCCACGAGGCAGCTCAGCCGGCTGACCAGGAGGCCCGCTCCCCCGACGCCGCCCGCCGCCCCGAGCAGACCCCACAGCGCCGTGCTGCCGTAGCGGTCTGAGGCATCGGCGGAGTCCAGATACTCGTACAGGCCGTCGTCAGCGGTCCACTCCAGAGGGGCGGACGCGCACTCCCACGCCGACACGATGAGGAGAATCAGGAGGAAGAGCTGGTGTTGAGGGTCCATCCGTTTCAGGCGGCCCAGAAATTCATAGCTCCTCCCCTCCTCCTCTGCGTCCGTCTGGTTTACCCGAAGCTGCTCCTTTGACCGCTTACTCCTCACTGAAGGTGCCGAAGAGTTCTCCGGGCGGGGCGTAAAGGAGCCGCAGACCTCCGATTGTCCAGCGCTGTCGTTGACCACCGCCGATGAGTTCAGCGGAGGCAGCGGAGGAGGGGATTGGTCCCGATGACGAAGCGCGGTTTCAGTAGCGAAAAGCGGCACCGCGGTCGAATTGACCCCAGACTGGGACGTAGCGGCGCTGTTGATCGTGGTCTGAGACTTGGGGAGGGCTGACGTCGCGGAGGGTGCAGCGGCGGCGAGCAGGTCGCTCTCCGGGCTTTGGGTCCGACCGGCGCTCAGGCTGCAGTTGCCGGCCCGCGCGCCCACATCCGCCGGCGGGAGGAGCAGCAGGGCCAGAGCCGCCGCCGCCGAGCACACGAGGGACCCGTGTATCGCCGCGCGCCTCTTGTTGTAGTGCTTGGAGAGCAGGCTCGCCACGGGGCTCCACGTCAGCGACACCAGGTGCTTGGTGCCCATGACGACGCCGGTCATCGGGGCGGAGAGACCCAGCTGTCTGAAGTACAGGGTGAGGAAGGGCAGCAGGCAGGCTCGGGCGCACGACCACAGGAAGTGGAAGGCGCCGGCCAGCGCCAGGGCCCGCCTGACGTCGATCTGCTTGCTCTTCTTCATGGTTTTGAAGGCCGCGGCCTCTCCTGTGACAGAATGCAGTAAGCACAGCACAACGGGGCCATTAGAGACCAACACCAATGTTATTGAGGGCTGAAATTATTTTCTTCATCCATTAGCCTGAGAATTATTTTTCATGTTAAACACGAGTGAAAAGTGCCCATCGCAGAACACGTCCAATACACAACGCAGAGCGTCAAGGAGAAGCAGCAGTATCCACACTTTGGTTTTGTTATTTTTCACTGTTTTCTGAAGAATTGTCACTTTTGAGCTGCCTTAAAAAAGAGCTTCCCAAAGCCCAAACCAAAGCTCCAAAAAAGTTAAGATTAAATAGAGTAGACTAAAAAATACATTCGATGTTGTTGGGATTTGGGTTTTAAAATAACTTAAAGGGCCGTCTGTGTACATCCAAGACACATTGTTCTAATACGCAGTACGGACACAAACCAGCTCTTATGTTGGTGAGGATACATAAATAAATGCATTAATGTCGATGTTTCCCGAGTCCATTGAATATTCAGGGTTTTGTTGGACTCAAAGTGCATACTTGCTTTTTTACGTCGACGTGTATTAAATGCAATCAGGATGTGGAGTCCACGTCACATCACGTTCCAAAGGTAAGACAATAAAATGAAACCGTTCGACGAACATAACGTTACCTTTTGAACTCCTCCTCTCGTTCGGACTATTTTAAAACTTTCTTTCAGCGGTGACGTCCCTCCTCGCGCTGCTTCATTCCATCCGCGTCTCAGTGTCTTCTGTGTTCCGCGCAGCGGCCACCTGCGCGCACGGTGCACCGTGTGCGAGTTCACACCTGCAGGGCCGGTGACGGGACCACAGCGCCCCCCAGCGGCGCGGATGCCTCTGTGCAGCACACACACAGAAAGAGCGAACGCTAATCAGTCTTATATATGTGTTTTATATTATAATATATATATAATATAAAACACATATATAAGACTGATTAGCGTTCGCTAATATATATATATATATATATATATATATATATATATAAATATAAAACACATATATCTTTAGCACCAGTGAAAGGCAAAAACATTCAGCATGCTGCTTTACTGGGAGGGAAAGCATGTTCATGCAAACAACTTCCTCTAAGCAAATAAAAGCTGTTATTTCACACAGGACACACACAGACAGGTAGTTTTCTTTATTCAGCACACATGATAGACTCACACCACATGGTTTTCTTCCTCATATGTGTTTCCTCATTTCAAACAGATAGTGAAAGATCACAGATCAGACAATGTGATATTACCAAACTGAAAATGAATTCCCCTGTGAACAGCATTACAAGAACATACTATTACTACATGTTGTGTTGCGAAATGAAGGTAACGCTTAATATTACGGCTTCAAAACACACAGCATTCAACAATGCAACACATGTATGACTATGGGTTTAGTGCAGCGTGTCCCTCAGGGGGACACACCACTGAAGGTGTTGACCGGCAGGTACAGGACTTTGTCCACGTCGTTGCTAAACAGCAGCTCTCGCTCTGACTTGGACCAGATGCTGCATCCCGGGTCCAAGCACGGAGAAATTTCCACCCTGTAGAGGAATGACATCACTTTGCATCACTTTCTATTTGCATAATGTGATCAGATGATGTTAAACAGAAAGGACGCAACGTTTCATATGACCTTTGAATATTGCCGTAAGTACAACGGGAGTCCTTGTCCAGACACACAGAGAGGGTCAGCGACTGCGTGGCTCTGATGCTGATTTCCTGGGTTCGGATGGTCTGTAATCGAAACAAAAAAGGTTCACAAAGCTGCGCTAAAGGTTCACTTACAATACTACTATTACTATTTAAAGGATTGTAATGATGATCTTAAAAGGCAAAACTAATTATATTCAAGAGGACAAAAGTGAATAACTCCTTACTTTGTTATTTTCCGGGTTCACGCTGTGAAACTTGACGGTAAGATGACCCCTGCCTACATAAAGTAACAAGGATTATTCAATGCATTCCTTTGCGGTGACATAAATCCGTCATATGAATGTCAGTGCAAAAGGTTCACTTGATGTTACAGCGGCCGGCTCCGATGCAATCACCACGCCACACGTCATGGGTGTGTTTCCCTTTTCCACTCCTCGTTTGCTCAAAGCGATCTGTTGAGGATTTAATATCCTGCTGTTGTTGATGCAAATACTAAATAAAAAGTATTCATTCTGGTTAACAGTAGTTAGGACTTTACCTCTGTGTAACTGACTGAGAGGACCGACCCAAAGACTTCCGCTCTCGTCTTCCTCGGGCGCACACCCTGCTTCTCTGTCCAAGACAACATATTACTGCAATTAGACAACTATGACGTTTGCAAAGTCATGGCAGTATCTGTGCACACCGAAGGAGACTCAAAGACGTACGAGAGGACTTTTCTATGAGGGGTCTGAACTCTGGGATGACGGCCTCCAGGTGGGACACAAACATCTCTTTTATCACGTCGCAGCCGGAGCGGGTCATCTGAACACATAATGCAGTCAGCCAAACCAGGGAGTGCACGTCCAACATCGACACGTCATCAACACAGATGCGCCGTACCTTAACCGAATAGAGCGGCAGCTTAAGTGGCCGCGTCCCACAGCGGAGGTAATAACACAGTGTGTCCAGCAGGAAGGCGCTGGGCTTTTTTGGCTCTTTGTGGACCGACTGCTAAAGGGAAGAGACATCACAGAAGGATGAACTCCCATTCTAATATGATTGTACTTCTTCAGGTTTAGTGCTTAGCAACATGCACGTGTTAGCATTTAGCTTCAAGGCCATTGTGCCTAAAGAGGGTCGATATCATAGACTCTTTGGTTACCGTTCCTGCCAGTTTGGAGATCGCTGCTCCCAGACTGTTGATGTTGCTGTTGTACCATGGATCCACTCTTCCCAGTAAGGAGGCAAGAGACAATCTGCTCTCCATCTGACATGGGCCCTCCTATGAGAAACAACGTGTGTCCTGTAGTCTACTACATTTACACCAGTCCGTCAGTATCGCTTTGAGTGACTCAGTGGGACTCACAGCTGGAGTGAGCGAGAGCTCCTCGTCAGAGACCGGGATGTAGTAAAACCGCAGGTTCACCTTCTCGGTCAAAATATGACATTTTGACTCTCTCTCTCTGTCGGAAATACATTGAAAATGTTCATGGAGAGCAGAGTTCGGTCCCCGAAACCTCCACCACACACACAATGCGAATGCAGAAACGGTTTGAGGAACACACAGCACTTCTCCTCAACACTTTCTGGAAAGCGGCTGCTCACCGAATCGAGTGGTAAGCTCTGGTAACTCTTCCCAGCACGCGGTCGTCTCCCAGCACCACCACCCGAGCTGTGTGACGCCTCCTGTCTTTGTTGGGGCTTTCAGGATGAAGGTCCATCTTGTCCCTCATGAAGAACAGTTTTTGTGGCGCCTTCGTGGTCTTGATGGCGTTTCTCCGCGTTAATGTTGGTGCAGGGTTTGATGGTGCAGGCGGCGCTACATCATCCAAGTCACTCTCTTTTAGCTCTCTCTCTATCCCACCGTCCACAGACCGAACTGAGTCCCGCTTGTCCTTCTGCTCTTCATCAAAAGCATTTGATTTAGAGGCGCAGCACGCTGCAAAGTTTGCCAGCAGATTCCCTTTTGGAGACAATACATATTTAATCTACATGTGTATTGCAGCATCTGGCTCTTTTTATTAAGAGAAAGTAGAATATATTGTTTGTTTGCCTCACATAGATCCTCTTTGTCTCTCCACAAGTGGAAGTTGATCTCTGGATAGGGCATTGCAGTGTTGAACACAGAACTCTGATCGAGCTCAGTTTGTTCTGAGAAAACAGGGTTCAACAGCTCATGATGTCATCGTGTGATGATCTCTAATAATGCCGATCTGTGCATAACCGCAGAATATGAACCTTCTTTAGAGGCAGTCAGGATGTCTTTGTAGATGCGTTGCAGTCTGTTCAGATAGTCGGCACAACCACCTGCACCCTGTGTCTCACTCTTCTCCACGGCTTGAACCACTTCCTGGAAATACGTCTTTGTCGTTTGTTCCCCCAAAGCCTAAATTACACAGAAGAACCAAAGGTTGATTAAAAAACAGCATCAATATGAAATACTGATTCAGATAACCATCTGATTTATTTATGTAGTTCAGTGGGAATCTTTCCACATGCCTGCTACAGCCAGGCTGGCCATGAGACTGCACAGCTGTGCTTTGTCATAAACGCCAACACTAGCATGACAAACAGCGCCTCACGCTATCATTGATAACATGCTAACGTTCAGCAGGTATAATGCTTACCATGTTCACTATCTTAGTTCAACGTGTAAGCATGCGTTTTCTGCTTAATGACACTGACGACAAAGTTCCACTCAGACGTGGAGAGTGAGCCAGCAGGATCCATCCTCTGGGAACCACGAATGTCTTTATGAACGTTTGTGCAAATCGACCCACGGAGAGGTGGAGATATTTCAGTGAATGCTTTGACATGTTGGTGGTGTTAGATGAAATGTAAAGTAAGAGGGTTAACAAAGTTATTAGGGTTCATCCATTTGGAGACCATGAATGTATGCACACCATTTAAATGGTAGTTTCTCCAATAGATGTTGAGATATTTCCGTCTGTACCAAAGTGGTAAGCCGATCGACTGACTGGCCCCACCATTCCTGTACAGCATGGCTGAAAAAAGCCTCCTTATTGCCTCCAAAACATGCTCACTAACTCCACCTTCAGAGCCTGAGCCAACGTGGAGCTTTGGCAGGACGTCCCCAGTCCCGTCTGCAGCACGTGTAGCACCACATTCTTCTCCATGGTGTCTGTGAAAAAGCTGGACTCCTCCAAGTGTGTTCTCACTGCTGCTTCCAGCGGAGCAGAGAACACAGCTGGGTCAGCAAGCACAAACACCCTGCAGGAAGTCAGCAACGGGAAGCCATTATTAAACCTGCCACTTTGATACGAGTCCATTGTCATTAAAACAAAGTACTAACTTCTCCTGGAGAGTGAAACGCTCGTTCATCAAGTTTTGCTCTGCGGTGACTCTCCTGAGGTACGAGGAACCTGTTGACGGGACGATTTGGAAACATTCTTGATCAGAAGTATTAATGTCTCAATTCCCAACACACCGATACAAGGACCACGTATTTTTTATTTTATAGATCAACAGAATGTGTTAAATATTAATAAACCAGTTGCTTTCAGCGTTCTCTAAATGTGTGCATGATACCTGGTGTGGTCATCTCCATCTTGATGCCTCTCAGAGTGCTCAGGGCCACAGAAGAATAAGGAGACGGAAACATCAGCAGTTTCATCAAGCACTCATATAGCTTCTGGTAAACGCTGGTCGGAATCATGACACCTGACTAGAAAAGTAAGTACAGAAACAGAAAAGTCTGTGTCTTAATCTGTTTTGTCTTAATCTGCAGATTGTAACACGCTCTCCATTGTTCAAGATTTTCCACAAACAACACAATGTTATCAGAGTCACACAGCTGCGTCTTACCTGCATAACCACGTAGGAGAGAGTGTGCAGCGCTGGAATCGTGTGAGTGTAGGATCGCGTTTCATGAATCTGAATCAGCTTGTCCAGCTCGGTGATCAGCGCTCTGATCAATGAAACGCTGCAGGATGGATTGTCTTCCAGATTCCTATGGAGACTCCATCGCATCACTCCTGCAGAGCGGGCAGACTACAATTGGTTTTCTGTCTATATGTGGTGTGTTTATGCAGTCTGCTAGAAGGCTACTACTTTAGCTAGTTTGCGAATGTAGTCCAGTGTTTCCCTTTTTTCAACCCTCCATTGAAATGAAGATTCCACCTGCATTGTTAGCTTAGTTTAGCATAAACAATGCAAAACAAGAAGAAACAGCTAGCCAGACTTAAAGGGACCAGATCCGCAGTTCAAACAATCGTACATATATGTTAAGCTAAGCTAATTAGCTGGCATATTATGGAGCCAAATCCAGGACAAAAATGTTGATAATTTCATAAATTAATGTGATCCTGAAAGTTGTGGTCTTGAAAATTGAAAAATACATCAATGTTGGATTATATTTTCAAGTTTCAAATCTTTTTTTCACTTTCGGATCGTTTTTTCGCTTTCGAATCTTTTTTTTTCACATTCAGACTTTTGACCTGATGTGGCGGGCAGGGGGGGGGCGTCAACTGAGAGGGGCACGGCATCATGAGTGACAGCTTCATATAAAAAAACATTTTCTCCTCTTCTTTATCAAATGATCAAAACATTTGACCTGGATTTGGTAACTGTGCCTCTAATTGTACTGTAAAGACATAGGCTCATTGAAATAATTATCTTTTAAATGGTAAACGCTGTTATTGTTTGCATTCAAAACGTATTTGCGCTTAAAAGTGCCTCATGTTCCCTCCGTTGTGGCTACCTGTCTGCGGAGCACTTTGGCCACTCATCTCTTTGAGAAGAGCCTGCACGGTGCCGTACATGCCGGACTGCAGAGTCGATAGAGACATGCTGGCTAAAAATGAAGATCATACACGTTATTGTACGACCATTTTATTTCAATATCCACATTCTACAACACCTGGTTCTGATCAGCTAAGCAAGTTTGGCCCACAGTAATTTTGATAAAGGAAAACACTCACTGGTAGGATCGACCCGATATCTCTGCTCTTCAGGATCTGACAGCTCCAGATGAAACCCGCAAAACTGAAAGAAAATCTTCTGTGTTCCCTCTCAACAGGTTTCAGTCAGTCTGAAGACTTGATCGTCGCTGAAAGCGCAACAATGCTTGAAGTGTGTCTGCAGCTCGAAAACTGACAAAACTCCAACGCGTTAGAGGCAGAGAGTAAAACATTTGATTTGAGTGCACCCAGGTGTGCGTGACTCATAGAAGGAAGTGTGTTGACGGTGACAAAAAATAAACCGGAAAGACTTTATTATTTATATAATGTAATTTTTATTCCAGTTGTGTGAAAAATGTAAAAAAAAAATCACTTAAAAATAAATAGCTTGGTATTTGACTCTGATATCAACATAACGTACATAGTAGCAATCAAGTAATTTGTCTTATGCAGCAGATAGAGAGGAGAAAATTGCAGGAAGCTTGAAAACATTCCTTTTAAACTGTCACACACACATCCATCGAATCAAAATGTGTCACACAGCAACAGGGTAAACCTGATGTAGAAATAGACGTCTCCCGATGACTTGTCACTGGCTATGGACTTGTTGTAATTATCAAAAACATTACGTAAACTTTGCGTCCGCTCGGCTCCAACATGCCCGGATTCGTTCATCGTACAAAGTGTTTCAGGGACACGAGGCGGAGAAAGAGGTGATGGGGAGGCAGAGCAGGGAGCAGTAGGACGGGTGCAGAGGCTGCACCTGGCCGGGCGAGGGCTTGTAGGCCTTCCAGTCTGAACTGCTTCCTTGTTTACTGCAGAGAGACACCTCGCACCTGCAGAGACAGAGGAGACAGGTGTCCCATAAATGCACGCTCACGTTGTGGCTCTGTTGCACATTCTAATGGGGTTTCTGATGCTGTTGTACCTGGTAACACTTTGGATGAACTTCTTCTCATCCTGATCCAGGCACACGGCGAAAGTCGCTCCATCCGCTCCACCGTGCACCTGCACCTTGTCCACCTTCACCTCTGATATGTAGATCTGCTGCCAGAGGGAGGGGGGGAGAGTGTAAGTGGATTGTGTTTCAAAGGGAGAGCGGCCATGAGATTATGTTTAATACTTCATGTGAACCCTCCACCTGGTTGTAGCCCTTTTTAGACTTAGAGCTCTGCCTCTTGACGACTTCAGTCATTGTCAACTGCAGACTTTCTATTCTGGTATCTGGAAGGACAAGATGATTGATGCTTGGACAAAAAAAGATCAGTTGCTAGCAGATGAGGGACCTTCCCTGCCACGCACCCAGCTGCTCCGGGTTCCTGCATGCTTTGTGGAGATTGATCGATGTGCAAACCACTTCCTTCTGGATCCACTGACTCCTCCCACTAACCACCACCTGTAAGCAGGTGTAGACGGGGCGGCTTTTCAAATAACTCGTGCAGTGATACTGTTTGTGTTCGGAGGAAGTCGAAACAAATACCTTGTTGTAGGCAACACTGAGTGTTAAAGGGACGGCCTCCCGTTCCTCATCGATTCCAAACCTTTTACTGGCAGAACCTGCAAAACGACACATTAGACTACCTGTTTGTGTGCGTGTGTGTGTGTGTGTTTGGGCGTGCCTCTATGCTGTTGTGTGTGTCAGAATGGAACTCACCCATGGCCTTGACTGCTCTGGTTCCAGCAGTGTGGCCGAGCTCCAGGGAGTGAATAAACACTTCCTTTCTCCTCTCTCCTCCAGCCAGGGTCAACTTTGAGGGGGAAGAAGACAAAAAAAACAATCAGCTGCGTGTCTGTGTGCGTGTGTGTGCTTGTGTGCGTGTGTCTCCGCGCTCCCCTCTCACCTCCGCCTGGTAGAGCTGCACCAGGACCGGCTGGTCTGCATGTCGGCAGTAGTAGAGCACCATGTCAGCCAGCAGGGGAAGGCGCTCCTCGCCGCTCACCGACTCGGCGTCGTCCTTACAGGCGGTCTGGCTCATGGAGAACACACATGGGGATTTTCAGACAAAGTGGACAGAAATGGTCAAATGTCGCCTTTGTGTGCAGTCACATCTGCTGAATAAGGTGAATCACCATTAGCGACACGTGAAACGTGCACAGTGGTTTCTCACCATGGAAGTATTTGTACATAACATACTTATCGTATTTGACTTTCTCTCTATTTGATTATGTTTTATTCTTATATCACACCAATCATCAAGACATGTACGGTACATGTGTAACATCCGTGTCAATAAATGGCTTCTGATTGTGATCCTGAGTAATCAGGTGTCAAGGGGATTAATGGAGAAAATCAGAGCGGCTCTTGATAAAAAAAATAAAGCTGTAATTTTTGTTGTATTCAAACGTAGAATACCACATCTTTGCACTAGAGACGATTCTTTGTCAATGACTCACCAAGGAACTGTACAAATGTTAGTCCAGTAAACCTCACAGTGTGCCAAAAGCTGTTGTTCTGTCAGCGGCTCTCCTGACTCACTATGGGATGCACGGGAGCAGACGAAGGAGCCACAAGTTACCTGAAAAAGGACGTCGGAGGACAGGCTGAGCAGACTGAGGACGTTCCGCTCGTACCAGGGGTCCATCATGCCCAACATCTGGGCTATGTCCTGAGTGCCGTCCTCCAGCACGCTGCCGTTAGACTCCTGTCAGAGTGAAGGAATCAAAGGGGCTCATTCTGCAGTCGAGGAAAAGCATGAATGTTTCATTGTGGTTTCCGCCCGGCAAAACAGGATAACAAGACTGCTTTACTTTTTACTGTATTTATGAATGAATAAATATATATATCTCCCCTACAGGTGATGCGTGTCCTCCAGAGCTTCCCGTAGCTCTCCTTTTGGTGGGAACAAGGTAGAATCTCAGTTTGCATGTCTTGGTGAGTCGGGGACATTTACTCTCCTTCTGCTGCAGGTCGCTGTAGGCCCTGGCCAGCCTGCCGGCTTCTTTGTCGCCTCCGAACACCACCACTTTGACCAGGGTCGGCGCCTCCTGCGCATCGCCCTCGTCGCAGCTCATGATCGGCCTCCTGCGCACGCACATGTGCTTCCGGGGGGAGAGGGGATCGCGGGTGGCGGCGCACGCATGCAGCGGGCGGACTTGTCTGCACAGGGACAAGGAGTTGAGCCCGGCTGTGGGAACGTCTCTGGGGAAGTCCTGGCGGTGGCCCATGCTCTGGACCCGCCGGCAGGTGCCGGGGCTGCGGGGACCCTTGAACAGCAAGGAGAAGCGCTCCACGCCTAAGATGGACCTGGACTTCTTCTTGGGTTTCTTTCGAAGCTTCGGTCGGCTGTCTGGCCCGCCGTCCGTGTCCTCGCTGAAGTCGCTCTCCACGCCCGACGAGCCGGACGGCGTGGAGACGGCGGACCAGCTGGAGGAGAGAGAGTGGCTGGAGGAGAGAGAGTAGCTGGAGTCCCTCGAGGACGAGGATGCGGTGGAGACCCGGTGGCTGTGGAGCTCATGGTCCTCTTTGTTTCCCTCTGCCCCGTCTTCCCCATCCACACTGGTGTCCTTGATAACATTGTCCGTTTCGTTTTCTAGGAAACAGTCCGGAGGGGAGTCCAGGTCGGACTCGCAGGAGAGAATGTCTTTCAGAAAATCTGCAGGGATTTAAAGGAGAATTGAGAATAAAGAGTGCAGTGGAAGATAAAATATCTGACAAATAATACAGGGGAGTTGTTTGAACTGAGCTAATTACCAAAGTTGTCGTTTTCCCAGGAGCACGTGTGACATTTAGGGAAGGGCAGCATAAACGTCTCAACGGCCCCTAATGAGAGGAGGCCATATTCCGTGTTAGGGAAGCACCAACAAACTTAAACCGTCCACACATTTATCCCCCTCTGACATCATCTGTCATACCAGCGTCCGTGCAGACAGCAGCGGGACCAGCGACTCTGTCTCTGAGCTTCTCCATGACGTGCAGCAGAGCTCGCCGAGCCGTCTCGGGGTCCGCCGCAGAAGCCGCGGCCTCCATGTGGTCAGTCACGGCCTCCGCCAGCTGGTCCAGCTCGTCGTCCCGCTTGGTCTGCAGGGCGGCGTGTAGCGCTCGCAGGTCGCAGGTGGCGCCCAGAGAAGCCTGAAAGCTGTGCAGTACGAGGGTGATGGCGACGTCTCTGCCGGACCGCCGAGCGCCGCTTATCTTCTCCGAGATGGACCGGACCTCCGGAGGGACGCACTCATCGGGGTTCACCAATAGCACCGTTCTAATAAGACACACACACACTGTCACATATAAGGAGAGCGGTGATGTGTTCTGTAGTAGGAGGAACAATATGTATTTTGGATTTTGGGGCAAACTTTCCCTTCAAAATGAATGGAAATAACATTGTGGCTTATTGTCAGAGTTGTCAATGGCTATGGACTTACATGGTTTTGGAGAACTGAATCTCAGGGCAAATACCCTGCTCGGTCCGAACTAGCTGATGAAATGAAATACCTAAAGCAAAAGTACAACAGTAGTATCCGGTGTTAGTTAAGTTTTCCTCAGTGGCTAAACAGTGACCCTTGGTGGTCACACAGACACATAAAAAACGCCCAAATGCACCAACGCAGTCCGGCCAGAAGCACCACCCCATCAACACCATCAGGTGGGAAAACCCTGGTTTGAACCGCGTCATCTGCTGTGGGCCTTTTCATTCGCGGTGCATTAGAGCGCCGTTCGCTACCTGGTGCTCTGCGCTCCTTCTGGATGATTTTCAGCAGGGTTTTACTGGCAGAGCTGCAAGGCTCAGGCCAGGCCAGGAAACGATGGAACAACAGGTAGGCCTCCTCCAGCAGCCCGCAGTCCGGAGCCACATGAGGAGCCTGAGAGGAGACCAGAAGAAACCAGGTTCGGATGTGAAAGAGTCTGTGCTTCTTTTTCATGAATAACATCCACTCACTTTAAGGAGGGTGGACGAGAACAGGAGAGTGAGAGGCACCACCAGCTCATAGCGACACTGCTGGATCACCTGCAGGAGACGGGCAGAAAGAAAGCAGGAGATGAAAGACACTGTAAACTCGGGGGGGGGGGGGAATGAGGTTGTTTTTCAGTTCTGGACCTCTGTTGTTTTCCTCAGTATTTTCTGCAGAAGGATGAGGAAGTTGTGGGCATCTCTCTTTACAAGTTCCTCCAAACACCAGCGGTTTATGCACAGCCCAGCTGATGAGAGAGACAGAAACACGCAGTGTTTATTTCTCCTTTTAGGTTTCATCCTGATAACTGTCAGTAAACCGGTAACTTAGATAAGCGTGTTCACACCTGATATTCAGAGAGGCGCTGAGGGAAAACGAAGTGGTTGCGCTACTTTCCTTTCTTGCCGAAGGTCTGAATTAAGAAATTTCAGCAAATCTTTCAACATGATTCTCCTTTATACTGTTGGTCCCTCCTCATTCTGTGTATCACCACTTTCAATTCCCATTTGTCTCTGTAAGACGGACAGTCTGTTCGGAACAGGTCGGCTGGGTGCGTGTTTGGACAATTCAAAGCGAGACTTTAAGCAGAAATACTAGTTTTCATGCGCTTTCATGTGATTTTGGGCTACTCTGCTTCCATAACATGTCAGAGAAAAGAGAAAACTACTACTATTTCCCTTCATAGATTTCTCCTACGCCAAATGCTATTGTTAGAAAATGTGCCATTTGCATATTTAAAATTTGACATTTCTGAAAACTTGTTATTCACAAAAAACAACTTCTTAACCTCATGGTTTAATATTTTTACACAATTCACCTCTAGCGTCATACTTGCATTTGGCTTGTTTTCGGAATGAGGGTCTGTTATGGAACATTGTAAACCTTTAAAACAAATACGTTGTATATATGTATATATATATGTACATATATATATACATGTCCAAACCTCTGTGTCTATAAAAGAAATTAGAGTTTTATTCATGCCTTTATCCAATGTATGCATGTCTGCTCTGAATGAGTGCAAACTGCACATATAGATACGAGAATGCATCAGTTGTATGTTCAAACCTACAAACACTAGCTGTGAAGAAGTAATTGTCTCAATGCAAGTACTCAGCTTTAATGTTTGGTGGTGTAGGGTGATATTAGTTAAGGTTTTTACCAGGTGTACTTATGTGAGCTGGGGACTTAAGCCAAATTCCATCGCCAGCACTGATTTTGTGATGCGGCCCTACAGGGAGGTTTGGGATCGGCTCTTACCGTTCCAGAGTTGTTTGTTGGGAGTGTCGAGACCCAGGCCGCTGAGGCAGCGCTCAAGGACATGCTGGATGCGATCCTCCGTGCACGAGCTGGGCTCCGTCACCTGCATCATCTTCTGCAGAGGCGTCACAACATCCACCAAAAAACACAGGAGAGGCAAGTGCCAAAATGAGAACAAGAATGACGCCCTAATGTCGTGTTCCGGTAAACCAATATAGTGTCCCCCGATTGGTCCAAGCTTCCTGTTATTGTGACTGCGGACACATTAAACCCAACCCAAAGTGTCAATGAGCAGAGTGGCAAATACGAATGTCGACAGCAGAGACGTCAGGACAGAAAGCACCTCCCACCGAAACCCGTGAGTCACAGACCATATGAGCGGGCCGGAGATGAGTCGGTAAAAAACAGAAGCCACAACTTTGTCGACTTCTCCATTTTGGATTCATTCTTAAATTCAGCTGCTTAGAGAAAACATTCTGAGGTGGGATGGAAATGGAATCCTGTAAGAACAACTTCCCATGTCATCTTTTGTACTCTTTTCAACAAGTGTAAACATTTGAGTGTTAGTTAAGGCAAAAAAAAGTCATTAAATTCTGTTCAATGAACTAAACTTGAACAGCAACAGACACATTTTGGGGAATTTGCTTACGAAAGCAATGGACATGTTTCGAAGCCGATTGAATTGAAAATAAAAAAATAAAAAACACAGCCATGAGACATCCCACCTAATAAGACATGTTATTCTCCGAATATGTATCCTCGGCTCACAGGATGTCGACTTGCATGCGGAAGCTGCAATTGTGCCCCAGCTGTGGCAGATGTGTTGAATGTTGTGTGCAGTGACACAACTGGAAATCAGAGGGTCACCTGTGCCCGTCAAAACAGGAAAAGGCCTCCCGGGAGCAGTTTATCAAAGGCACTGGGGTTATGTGACGATATAACAGTAAAATAAGCTTAAGCCTTTTGAGCTGAAAAGCATGAAATAAATACATTCGCACCCAGCAGAGAAAAGCATGAAGACAAGCTTGTCTGCAAGCAGGAACACAGACGGCAGCTCTGTACTCAGAGGTTCCCTGCATATCCAGATCCTGCACGTCAATTCAATCAATTGTCTACTGAGGAAGCAGGTGTTACACCATTGTATGTGTTCAGGCTATATGGCCCACTGCTGCAATGCACAAAGGCAAAAAGCCTGATCCCCCATTGGTCTTCTTTAAGCATTAAGATTATTCTACTGTGAGCGCGGGGGGAGAATGGAAAGGTGTACAGATGTGCACTGAGACACCTTAACGGTATAATTATGAGCTTCAATATAGACGTAAATATTCTAGTGACACTCCAAAATCTATTTAAAACACTGAGCCAAACTAAATTCATTTAATTCAGAATGCACTGTCAACAGCCTTCAGCGGCTTTTAAAAGAAAGGGAACAGGAAATCTGCTTGAGAGCCTTGCAGTGCGATGTGATGGAAGTTGTGCAACAGAGGCTTGTTTCTACTAGAAAGAGCGTATGTGAAATAGTCCAAATAAGGCCAGCGTGAGACGGGCACGCACGGGACATGCAATACAGACACATGGAACGTCCTGTAAACATGTCGAGGCACCGAAAAGAGGCTAAAGATCATGAAGCGAGAGGCATAGCTCTTACCTACCTACGGTCTCCAGTGTCCTAGATCATCCCAGATCGACCTCAATCGAGACACACCAGCAGGCGGGGGAAACAATAGAGGGACCACATCCTCCTTCGTTGGTGCCCTTTTTAAAAATAGACCCTCTGACTGCAGAGTTAGTGAGCGTCTGCTGCTAAAAAGGAACTGAATGAGTCCTTAAGGCTGCGTTGCTTAACAAAACCTACTAGAAGGAGGAGTCTTTTAACATGACACAAGAGCGTCTCGAAAGCACCTGGTCACGGGTTTTAGGCAAGCAGTTTGTGTTTTAATATTGCAATCTGTTACGACAAATTAAATTAATTCATAATGTCCCAGGTGGTTATATAGCGAGCTGTTTTTTTTAAAGACATATTGTCTGTTATTGTCACACCACGGTCAAATCATCTCACTTTGACGCTCAAAGATAAAGTGCACAGAAGAGCTTTTCACTTGTACCATTTGTACCAACCCAGTTGCTTGGATTAAAATGGTCTGTCACTGTTTGACCTTTCACTAATTTTCCATTAATGGTTGAACCTGAATTAAATTTCTGCTCTTTGTGACTTTTAAGGGCCATCTCTTTACCATTTACTTTCACTTTGTTCAGATTATCTACTTGCCTTTCTGAGTAAACCACAAGATGTTCGTGCAACATCTTTGCCTATTTAGGCCACACGGTTTTAATGCCTGCTGCTTCTCTTCGTGCATCATCAAATCACAGGATTTTATTGCATCGAAATTATATTCATTGATCGACTTTTGTGAGGACAAAACTATGCGTGATGTCTTTTTAACATGTAGCGCACGCAACCTCTCGGAAGATGTCGCTGCTGTCTCTCCCTCCGCAGAGAAACTCCCCAGGACCAGCGGAGCCGATTATAACAGAGAGGGGACTGGGACAGCCAGAGATAGAGGTGGGCAGAGGTGTGACTGAGAGGACACTCGGGGCCAGCTGGGCTTTTTGCCATTTCTCGTTTATATTTAGGCAGTATCAAAGAAGGGTGGAGAGGGGCTGCGGGGGGGTTGAAAGCCTGAAGAAGTATAGCGGCAGTTTGGGGTTTTTCTTTTCGTGCGTAAAGGGGATAGGTTGTGTCCCTCATTCTTAGGAGCTTCACTTTCAGACTGAGCGGTTTATTTGGAGGTAGTGTCCCGGGTCTCTTTGCCTCGTAAGAACATTTTATTCACCTTTTTAAAAAAATGATCTGTAAGATGCTTCGCCGGTGCGTTCAAGTCGCCCAGAATCTCTCCCAGAGCATCACTTGTTCTAACCGTGTTATACTCGTATAGATTCTGTCCAATCATAGTGTTTTAAAAAAAGAACTCTGGTCATATATATATATTTTGTCTCCATTGCATTGCAGCGCGCGGGTCCCCTGCGGTGCACGGATTACCATGCAAAGGATTTTGGAGGTTTGGGTCGCCTTGGTGACAGTCGCGGCGCTGACCGAGGGGGTCTCCGGAGGGTACGGGCTCAGCATGTTTGCCGCGCAGTCTTCCCCGCCGGACCCGTGCTACGACGAGAACGGCAACCCGCGGAGGTGCATCCCGGACTTCGTCAACTCCGCTTTTGGCAAGGACGTGCGCGCGTCCAGCACCTGCGGCGGCCCCGCCGCCAGGTACTGCGTGGTGTCCGAGAAGGCAGAGGAGCGGACGAGGGACTGTCACACGTGCGACGCCGCGGATCCCAAGAAGTCCCATCCGCCGGCGTACCTCACGGACCTCAACAACCCGCACAACCTCACCTGCTGGCAGTCGGAGAACTACGCGCAGTACCCGCAGAACGTCACGCTCACCTTGTCGCTGGGCAAGAAGTTCGAGGTGACCTACGTGAGCCTGCAGTTCTGCTCGCCCCGACCCGAGTCGATGGCCATCTACAAGTCCATGGACTACGGCAAGTCGTGGGTGCCGTTTCAGTACTACTCGACCCAGTGCAAGAAGATGTACAACAGGCAGAATAAGGCCGCGATCACCAAGCAGAACGAGCAGGAGGCCATCTGCACGGACTCCCACACGGACATGCACCCTCTGACCGGCGGGCTCATCGCCTTCAGCACGCTGGACGGCAGGCCGTCGGCGCACGACTTCGACAACTCCCCGGTGCTGCAGGACTGGGTGACGGCCACCGACATCAAGGTGATCTTCAGCCGGCTGCACACGTTCGGGGACGAGAACGAGGACGACTCGGAGCTGGCGCGGGACTCGTACTTCTACGCCGTGTCGGACCTGCAGGTCGGGGGACGGTGCAAGTGCAACGGGCACGCGTCAAAGTGCGTCAAGGACCGGGAGGGGAACCTGGTGTGCGAGTGCAAGCACAACACGGCGGGGCCGGAGTGCGACAGGTGCAAGCCGTTCCACTACGACCGGCCGTGGCAGCGCGCCACGGCCCGGGAGGCCAACGAGTGTGTGGGTAAGTGTGCGCGTCGACGTGCCACTCATTCGCTTGTTTGGGTGTTACAGTTATATTGTCCGGTATCTGAAAATAAAATACGCAGCAGCACGATGTCTATGCGTTAATGGGGAGTTTTATATTTGTCTAATTTATTTCTTACCGGGAATGAATTAAACTTCACAGATCTCGATGCAAACGATGACGTTCTGTATTTTGCTGCGCGGAAATGTTTGTGGCCCAGATTCATATTAATAGAATTGATTAATCCTAGTTTAGGGATCGACACAAGAAAGCCTGCAGTTTTAATCCCGGAACCTAAATGGTTTAATAACCTTAATAATTTAAATCAAGCAGAAGAAGTACTTGATTTCAATTAAATCAAGTAATAAAATGAATTAGTCGAAAACGAACCTGACTCGTGTTCTTGCAACTTAATAATTGTCTCCAAACAAAGTAAACCACTTATAAGAATGTATACGAAATAAGCTATTTAAATTTAAATATATTTATTAACAAATATTTATAATTTAGGAATAAATCAACTGTAAATTGGTCAATTGCTTTGCTGAATTCAGTAATTCTATTTTGCGAGGAGGAATTCAATTTGTATTCATCAAAATCAGATCGCCCGTTTAATTGCACGCAGTCCAGCTGATTTATTACAGTCATTGTGTTTTTTTTAAAGGCTCGAGGTTCTATTTCCTGGCTGCCCACAAAGAAAACGCAAGTGTTGTTTCCAACTCTCAGAATCCCAACGCTTTTTCTCCCCAGAAGCCAAACAAACGTTTGCACTTTGTCGACCCCTGATTTTTATCAACGTTCAGAAGAACAGAATCGGCCGGAAGTCGTTTCGGTCACTTTGGAGAGAGCGGCCGTCCGGCTGCGCGCAACTGCGCGCAACTGCGCTCTGACCCGAGTTTCCCACCGTGGCTGTTTAATAGGAAACATTAACAGAGACAGAGACAGACTGCGGGGCGCGTTGTGCTTCGCTCAGCAGGTGCGATTACGAGTTGATTCAGGCGGTTTTATTGACATTTTTTGGCACGTAGGTCATAAACAGCCGCGTTAGAGCCAGTAAACTATTCACAGAGGAGGACAAAGCGCGAGGTAATTTGAAGCCTGATCTGTTATTTATATTTATTCTAGAGCGGGTATTTGCTGTGATGCTAATTTCCATCAGAGCAGGGGAGAGGGGCAGGGGGGGCTTTGGGCTGTTGATATAAGCCCCCTCTGAGCTGCAGCGACCCAAACCTGGACAAGCAACAAGTTCAGACAGTGCCGTGGTTTCCTTAACCAAACAGAACAAGGGAACAAGTGGTTCCCTTTGTTCACCACCTTGTGCATCCCTGCGTATTTTATACTAAAAAACAAAAGCTTGTCACCGGTGGCATCCATCTCACTGTCAACCCCCCCGGCCCCCTTGCACCCTTTCACCACCTCCCTTTTTGTGTGCGCGGCGTGGTGGGATAAAGCCGCAGGAAAGCCAGGCCGAGCATGTCTAAAGAGGGGATGGTGAGGGTGGCCTGACACCTATAGGCGTGAAAGAGGAGGGGGTGTTTCCATTGAGCAGGGGGGGGGTCCATATGGTCGGGCAGCGGGGATGCAGAGTGGTCGGCGCTAAGGATCTGTCTGGATGTCCCCTCCCTGCTGTAGGACATTCAGGGATTGTGGTGTTTGGAGAGGCGCTGCATTCAATCACTGTTTTCAGGGAAGTAACACAACGTAAATGTCCCGTGACTTCGCGTGCGGCGGTTGCCACTATTTTGGCTCAGGGTGGCACGGCCATCCATATGAAATCTAGGGGCCCCCAAACCAGAGGCAGAAGGTGATAGGTGGGCTTGTTAGCACCATGGATGGATGGAGCCACAAAGTAAAGAGACACAAAATAACCACAAAACGATGTAATTCAACCACAAAGAGGCATGTTAAGTGTACACAACACTGCTACATTACTGATCCCCAGTGGCTTGGTGTGTTTATGCGTTATTCTGTCTTCTATGCTGTGCCGTGTGGGTAACTCTTGTGCACGCTCAGTACGTCGAGGGATCGCAGAGAACGTGTGATTTGTTTTTGATTTGAACCATCAGGTTTTTGTCGGGGGGTTTATTGATTTATTTAATAGGCCTGCTTCAGTTGCCTCAATTAAGTTTGTCCTGACGAAACTGCATGGATGGAAAACAAACACAGGGAAGAGTTGGATGAATGCAACGTCAAAAAGACACATGCACTTCATAGAGATGCAAATTGAACACAAACAGACACGAAACGACTACACAGAGACACAAACGACTACAAAGAGATGCAAAATGTGTGTGTGTGTGTGTGTGTGGGGTATTTATATGTATATATTCAGGGACCTGCCTGTATTTGGAGTGGATTTTCTTTCGTAAGCATTATTTATTTGGCATTCCTTTAACAATTGATCTAGTAAATCTCTTCAAACGTCTCTTACCTCCTGAGCTTGTAGAGGAAAACCTCCACACTTTAATGCACGATAAAGTTTGACCACGACCCGAAATCATCTATGTAAAGAAGCGTATGTGGTTGTGAATCGCACACATATGGTGACACGTCATGCTCCCCTATCCCGGGCAGCTGCTTCGTATTCTCTTCATGTTCAGCGTAGCACTGACCCCTGACAGTCAGGCCCCCCCCCTCCTCTCCGGCCTGACTGATGGGCTGTGAAGGGAACTGTGGGAAACTTCGACTTGCCAAGTGGGTTTTGAGGCAAGGTGAATATGGTAGCCTTAGTCACTGAAACGTGCGATTTTTCACATTTGTTCAATTTCATCATTGTTTTTCCTTGTCAGCGTTGCATGCGAGGTTCTGTTTTACAACGGCTGAGAATCAGCGGGAGATTCACTCAGTCCTGTTTCTTTACTCTTTTGATCTGCTTTCAGAGTCAACTTTCACCATCTCGTAAATTCTGACGGTTGGCAGGCGCTTATCTGCCCTTAGATGGTTTTGATATAAAAGAGACTTTCAGCAAGCCATCTTTGCTTGGATAGAAAACATATAAATCCGAAACTCAGTGGAGACATTTTTGTATTGTTCTCTTGCCCAACTATTTATTCTATTAAACCTACACAGAATCCTTGATAGGAAGAGCCGACATGTTTGCCGCCCACAAGGTGGCCGAATTAGGATACGATTGTATCAATTGCTCACTGGCTCTGCTCCCAGTCCTTTTACCACATACTGGTCTCCAACTGCTCTAAAAATAGAGTGCATGATATAATTGCACACTCACAAAATTTGGAAAGAACCAGCAGGTTTGATGACAAATATGGGAAAAGAGATTTGAGAGAGCAAATGCAAGTGAGATCAGTATGTTGAAACCTATGCTGTCGTGTTGTAGGTCTAAACCAGTGGTTCGCTGCCTTTTATGCAAAGCCATTTTCTATATGTTAACCATTACGGTATTTTCAGTTA